TTGTCAAGAACTTTTTGGTGAAGGGTATAGTTCAGTGAATTTAGGTACTTCAAGGTAGATGATGTCTTGGGTGAGGGAGAGGGCTTTTCCCCCAAATCTCCCAACTCAAGGTACGCTTCCAGGAAAGGATGTCCCAGACTGAAGCCTGCTACATACAGAGGGTTGATTGGTGATAATAAGAAGGCGCACACACCTTACAACTTGCTCCATAAGTTTGGTGTAATCCCGGCTCTATTCTTTTGAGGACTCGACTTGCCCAACCTTGGAAGATTTCTTTGGGGTAGATGTGGCAGTATTTCCATAGAAGGATTCAGCTGACCTCGTTGGAATCACATCAAAAGATTAGACTCTCTTCCTAAACACTTTACCACAGGACTGGTCAGGTTCCAAAATCCCAAGGGCCGCTGCCCAAAATATAATTATTGGGATACCTTGAAATTTTGTTCATATATTGGCAGAGGTATGCACACATTTTTTGGAGTGGGGAGGTTTTGCTTCAGGTATCTTGAACACTACTTATTTTATCAGTGAAAAATCATGTCTACCATCCATGATGCTGCCACACCAACCATTTATGTTGATGAGAGAAGTAGTTGGCTAAGAGCTTCTGGTAGCTGGCTCTGCAGTGTGGGCTTACATTCGAGGCCATGAAATGCTGCTTAGCCACATCCCCACCAGTCTGTGTAGCCCTTGTTGATATATTGCAGATATTAACAAACAGCCCCTAAGGTGTAAAATAAAATGACTATTCACATGCTTGTTATACTAGTAGTTAAATTATAGACAACACCCTTTTAAAATTATGTATTTTGTTTTTATTTCTTATAAGCCCTTTGCTATATTAATTTTTCACGAAATTAAGGCAAAAGTAATAGGAAAATTGTTTGGAATGATTTTTCCCCCACAATAATGTTCCTTGTGACAACTGGGGTTTACTTCAGGTTATCTGTAAAGTTATTTTTTAAGACAGTAGTGTCTTAGAAAAGAGCAGAATAATCAATGGTTTCCAGACATTAGTGTGGGTTTCTGGAAAAATCCCACATGACTCTACTACCAAGGAAAGCTGGATGGCAGGAGAAATTTTATGCTCAGTTTTTAGCAAAACTACAAATTACTGAGCACTGAATTGGGTCAGTAATTGCACTCCCAAGGCTGGCATGGCACTCTCCTTTACCTTCAAAGAGATTACTAATGAACAAGTATATTTCTATAATTTAGTTCCCAGTGTCTAGTTTAGCTGATACAATTTAGATTACTTATTTAAAATTCTCTAAATTTTTTATCTCTGCATGTAGAGACCTAGATTCTATGAGTATTTAACAAACTGCAATAACATTGAAAAAGTCAATGTTTCATTGAAGTATTCCTGTAGATACATTAAAGCTATTAGACTATTGCTGTGGGTATCAGAATAACCCTAGACAGTTTGTTGAAAACACACATTGCTGAGTCCCACCCCCAGAGTTTCTGATTATTTCTGTCTGGAGTTGGTCCAGGGATTTACATTTCTAACCAACTCCTAGACAGTTCTTTGAGAACACCTGGTCTCCATGCCACCCTTCCAGGCCCTCTCACATTATGAAATTTTACATAATGTTCTGAGGATCCTTATTTAAGCAATAATACATAACATAGGAGGAGATATCTTCAATCATAAAATTGTAGAAAAGAATAATAGTTCTCTAAGTGACCATTCTATATTGGTTTTCAATAAACGCTCCATTTCACGCATTGCTATAAAGAAATACCCAAGACTGGGTAATTTATAAAGGAAAGAAGTTTAATTGACTCACAGTTCCACATGGCTGGTGAGGCCGCAGGAAACTTACAGTCTTGGCAGAAGGGGAAGCAACGGCCATCTTCACATGGCAGCAGGAAAGAGAAGTGCATACAGGGGAAATGCCAGGTGCTTATAAAACCATCATATCTTCATGAGAACTCCCTCACTATCATGAGAGCAGCATGGGGGAAACCGCCCCCATGATCCAGTCCCCTCCCACCAGGTCCCACCCTCAATACATGAGGATTGTGGGGATTTCAACTTGAGATCAGATGTGGGTATGAACACAGAGGCAAACCATACCAGTAATGAAGGCTTGTGACTCAGTAACTCAGGGAAAGCATCTTTTCCTGAGACTGAACAAACATGGTTTAGATACTTTATTTTCTAACACTTTCTTAAAATTGGATACTATGCCAGTTACAAATGTGGAAATTAAGTGTAGAAGTGATGGAAATATTTGGGATCTTGTCAAATAAAAGATGCCTTTTTTCCCTCTGCCTTTGCTAACATTATATGTAAATGACATTTCTAAAATTGGCACAAATGAGAGATGAGTTGGGTGTGGGACGCCAACTTGGAAAGAAAGGAGAAACACTTAAGTTTTGGGGAAAGCTCATAAGAGAAACATAAGAACTGAGATATAAGTAAAAACTATGCATTTTAACTAAGGCTTGTTAGCACATGAAATGTTACAGCAATCATTTAGTTTATAACTAGAATTTTATATAATGAAAAAACAATCAGCTTATGTAACATTAAATACATTTCACCACATGCAAAAAAAAAAAAAAAATTGGACCTTATCTTACAACCTATGGAAGAATCAACTCAAAATGTGTTAAATACTTAAGTGTAATATAGGGGAAGTCTTCAGAAGATTTGTCTTGGCATTGATTTCTTTGGTATGACCCCAAAAGCCCAGGAAACAAAAGGAATAACAGACAAGTGTATTACATCAAACTAAAAAGCTTCTGTACAGCAAAGGAAATGATCAACAGAGTCAAAATAACCTATGTGGAATGGGAGAAAATATTTGCAAACTGTGTATTTGATATTGATATTTGATTATTTGATACTGATTTGATATTTGATATTGATAAGGAATTAATATTTAAAATATATAAGGAACTCCTATAATTCAAGTTTAAAAATCTGACTTTAAAATGGCAAAGGACTTGAATAGACACTTCTCTAAAGAAGACTTACACATGTCTAACAGGTATATGAAAAGATACACAGCATCACTAATCAGGGAAGTGCACATCAAAACCACAATGAAGTATCACCTCACATAGGATAGTTACAGTTTAAAAAAACAAAGCAGAAAATAAGTGTTGCTTTGATGAAGCTGTGGAGAAATTGGAACCCTTGTACACTATTGGTGAAATTGTAAAATGTTGCAGCCACTATGGAAAACAGTATGGTAGCTCCTCAAAAAATTGAAAACGGAAGTACCATAAAATCTAGCAATCCCACGTCTAGGTATATAGCCAAGGAAACTGGAAGCAGGATCTCAAAGAGGTAGCTGCACTTTGATATTCACTGAAGCATTATTCACAGTAGCTGAGACATGAAAGCAACTAAAATGTCCATCAGCAGATGACTAGATAAACTAAATGTGCTATATATACACAATGGAATAATTCTATCTATAAAAAGGAAGAAAGTCTTGTCATATGTCACAACATGGATGAACCTTGAGGACATGATGCTAAGTGAAATAAACCAGTCACAGAAGGACAATTACTGTATGATTCTGTTTATGTGCAGTATCAAGAGTAATCAAACTCCTAGAAACAGAAAGTAGAATGGTGGTTACCAGGAGCTGGAGGGGAGGTCTATTCAATAGGTGTAGAGTTTCAGTAATGCAAGTTAAGAAAGTTCTAGAAAGCTGCTGCACAACACTGTACTTAGAGTTAACAATACTGTACCATACACTTAAAAATGTAGGAGGGTAGATCTCATGTTTTTTGACACAATAAAACATTTTGATCTTAATATTTATATAGCTTGAATTGTTGAATACACATGGTATATAAAATAAACATAATAAAACACTTGTTAAATGAGATTATATAGGTTCATGTACACTGGAATATTGTGTGACATGGACTTTTTAACTGCTATAGGTAAAAAAAATCACATCCTTTGAAATGTGATTTCAATTGCCTGATTTCAAAGTGTTAGAGACTGAGAAGCATTCACAAAGCTTTGTATCATCAGATCTGAGCCATTTCTAGGAAAGAGGAAACCAAGACTCTCCCTCTCAGACCTTACCCCAGTTGACAGGTCTCTTTCCAGTGTCCTCATATCCATAGGAACTTGAGAATAAAAGCAGAGATGGAAAGGATGCTCCCGGAACACCTCCTTTGTTTTGGCACTTTATACAGGGGGTCTCCTCTGAAGTACCCTCTGAAGCGAACAGGAGCTGACCAGGTGCTCCTCTCACTGAGTGTCTTTGACCTTCTGTCATAGCCAGATGCCATAGCCACCCTCAGGACTCCTGACAGAATCCCTTATGTCCAAAAAAAAGTATGGAAGTATATTTAAATTTTAATTAACTTGTAATTCATTACATAGCCACACAAAACGTTAGCTTTACAGCAGAAACTTAAAAATGTTCTCAGCAGGAAAATGTTTAAACTGATTTTTTTTTTTCTTGAAGACCAGTGTGATAGTATAAACTGAATTTCTAATTTCTTTAAAATTCTGAGGTGGGAGCTCAAGTAGATGTATTTCATTTTAAATGGAAACACAAGCATTAATGATGAGAAAATATTTTTTAAGTGTTTTATTATGCAGCTTTGTGGAGCCTGATGAATTCCAAAATGGAAGGAACAGAAGATGAAGATATTGGTATTATATCATGGTGATTTCTTTTTAATTTTTGTTATTTTATTTTAATGTTACTTGTGTGATGTAAATGAATAATAGGTCTCACTATTAATGGTAATCATCAAAAATGTTTAAGCAAAGAGAGACAGATTTCAAGGAAAGCAGACAGCAGTGTTTCCATGTGTTCAGTGGAGCAGCCTCTTTGAACAGGTTTGTACTTTGATTAGCAAGGAGGTTAATGTTGCTGTCCACTCTGTAGAGCTTTAGGGTAGTTTCATGTCACGGTTGGCTGCGCTCCTTTCTCTCATTGTCTAAGATTGCAAAGTAATTCTCTGCTCACTCATCACCCGCCTGTTTCTGCCTTGCCCCCATGTCTCCACAGATCATTTTGTGTTTCTCTCCAGTTGGTCACACGCTGAGAATTAGAGCTCGGAAGTTCCCAGCCATAGTTAACTGCACGGCTATTGACTGGTTTCATGCGTGGCCGCAGGAGGCCCTGGTCTCCGTCAGCAGGAGGTTCATTGAGGAAACCAAGGGAATTGAGGTACGCCGTGTCAGCCTGTGTCACGCACACACTCACACCAAAAATCCTCGGTAGATAAGTACTTTTCAAAAATACATCTCCTGTCAGAAAGCTGTCCTGATTTAAGATGTTAACTTATCTGTTAGTTTACCTTCTAAGGAATTCGATGGCTGGCATTTTTTCCACCAGGCTGAGGAGGATGTGCACACGTGTGTGAACACAGGCACACAGCACTTGAGTGTATTCTTACTCATGCACTGACTCACTCGAAACCCAGGATCATAACTTCCTTGGATCATACTGGGGCTTACTGATTATAAATCCTTTAAGTTTGAACTAAAAGCCCAAACAGAAGTGTAGTCACTGTAGCCATGCTTCTTAATGAAGTAAGGCAATTCATTGTGATTATTCTCATAGTATCGATAGTTGAAAAATCAGCCCCCATATTCCATAATCACTAAGTCAAATAATATATCTGCTTATTTGCTTTACAGACTTAGGTTTTATGGGTTATTTTGTCATTCATGTCTTCATGATGAAATTTGTACCTCCCATGGCATTCTAAAATGGTTGTACAAAACAGAGCAACAGAAGCTTCAAGCACTCAGATGGAGAGGGAAAAAGGATTTGGTATGAAGTTATTTAGATTTCTGGATATGAAGTTTTATTCATGTCTAGTGCCTTTCTGATTACATAGCTTTTAAAAGTGATTGTGGACATTTCCCAGGGAGCTTTGTCTCCTCATTCCATTGAGTGATAAGGTGAAAGTTTCCTAGAATAGCTCAGACACTGAAATTGACTCTCAGAGGCAAACACAGAACTGGAGATATGTAAGGAATGATGTCCGTTCCTAGTTGAAAGACTATCATGAACAGGTAGCCCACCCCTTACTCCAAAAGGCATAACTGCCGCTGTTCCAAAGCAATCCTTTTACATTTTGTTGTATGTTGTATCTTTTGGTGGCCATATGGTTAAAAATCTGGTCATATTTACATATTTAATTGTCTGTATGCAGCTAGCTTTATTGTTCATAGTATCATTTTCCTTTGCTTCTACTAAAATAAAACAGCTGTAGGGGTAAGTACACATGCAAGCATTCTGCGATACCTACAGAATTTTGTGGAGGAAGACCTCCTCTCCTTTAGTCTTTTCCTGAAATGTTTATTAATCTAATTATTTGCTGCTGGATTGCTAGGAAAGAGCTGTCAAGCAACGTCTAATTTGGAAGATACTTACATATAGTACAGGTTTTAGGCTATTCCGCTACCCACCCTCCTTCTCTCCCCTACATTTACACTTAAACATTTCCACAAATAAATGAAAATAAGAAATGATCTAAAGTCTGCCAGAAATATTTTGTACTTTAACATCTGGAAAATCATTAAATACAACAAATAATAGTCATAAATGTTAACACAAATTTCTTATGCAGTTGCCAGGTCTGTTGCATTACTGGGATTCTCTAGGGCATCATTTTATCTTCTCATAGTTACAAGAAGCGTTCACAATGTTGCTTTATTAGAGGGAGAGAGTCAGTATGAATCTTCTGACAGCAAAGTTCAGCTTTATCCCGGCTGCTTTGGTAGGAAGAGAAGGGGCCACAGCAGTTTGTTTCTGCCTGTTACTTTCTCAAATGTTAGGAAATTAGAGCTAATAGCATGGTTTAAGTTGGCATTTGGCACCGTGCTTTTTAGAGTTCCTTTGCTTTGCTGCTCTGGGCAAGCTTTTTCGTATTCAGGTGGGCGCCACTTTGAAAACAGCTCAAGGAGCTTTGATATGCCAGTGACCGTTGACATCTGCTGGATGAGGCAGGACTTGCATCGTGTGAAGTCCAGAGGGCTCCTGTCAGGTGCTCAGCTCGATCCGATGGTGTCATAACGCCTCCTATAGGATGTAGGATGCTGAGCGCCTAATAGGAATTTTAAAAGCACTTTACCATTTCTGTTGAACTGAATTGTGCCTCAGAACCAATTAGCCAGCTGATTTCATTTCAGCACAAGGTGCTTATTTTAACTTTCTCACCTTCTTAATGTGTTGCACAGGAGCAATGATTATAATTCAGAGTACATTGTTTCCATATTCTTCTAAAAACATGTGGTGTCTTTTCTGTAGAGGTCAAAACAGCTTTTAAATTTTTTGAATGAGCACTAATTTGATCACTTTCTTTGTTTTAATTTCCTCTATTAAGACTGAAAGTTATCAGCATATTTTAGGCCCTTCTTAATTATTGACCTCATTTGCTGAGTCTGAGGTACTTATACAAGGCGACCTCCTTAGGCCAGAGAGAAAGGATTCAATAAAGGCAAGCAGTTTGGTGTGTGTTGACATGGAATTTTCCGTCAGTACACACTCAGCACCCAGGGGTACGGGTTGACTGCATCTAAACAAATGTTTGTGCTATTTTTCTGTTACCTGATATTGAACTGAATGACAGCTGACAAACAATGAACAAAACAGTTCGACACTTAAGTATGTCAACATACACTACTTCTCCAAGGAGATTTTGAAATGAAGATGGGAGGAGGTGTGTAAGGAGTGAGAGAAGAAAAAGCCCTCTGGGTAAACCTGGGAACAGGGTGGGAAAGGCTGTGAGAAGCTCACTGGAGAGAGAATTGGGTGAAGACCTTACTGATGAGTACATGTGTTCTACAGTGAAAAATTGAGAGAAACTGGGGTATTGAAAGACAGGTGATGTTTTTGCTTTTCAGGGTAAAATGCATCGCAAACATATTTGAAAGCAAGGCCAGATGAAAGGAGAAGTTACTGAATGAAAATGAAACAGTGAGCTGTCTGGCGAAGGAGTGAGATGCTTGTTGGTTGGTGGGAAGTGGGTCTGAGCCAGGTGAACGAGGTCATCTTTTTGGACCTGTTCACCAACTGATGAGTTAAAATCCTCTGTCCTTATTTGGTACCACTTAAAAGTAATGACGCAAACTCAATATGATCACCTTTTTCAGGGAAAAGCCGTTATGCTCCATGCAGTCACCTCTTCAATCGTTGCAGAGTTTGGTAGCCTGTGAAGGACATGTTTTATTACTGTTTTCCACAACTGATTGTGAGGAAGTCTAGTCTAAGAAGAAAGTTATTTTACTTCTTTATTTAAAGCCTTGTTTCTCCAATGGTCTGTAAATTCATTTTTAAAATGGCATGGCAAACACAAAGGGTAAAAAACAACATATTTGTCAGTGATAGCTATATTAGCAGAGTTTCTATTAATGACTTTCAGCACAATTCTCACTTTGAAATATCAATTAGAATTATTCACTATGAATAAAAAGTAGAAGGATAACCTTATGTAGTAGAAATTCTGTGAATCTGAGGAAAATAATTCTCTTTTTTGAGGAATATTGAAGCCATTTAAAAATATTAAGACAAAATAAGTGCAACGACATTTATCTTGATTCTGCCCAGTTCTTACACTGGCTTAAGCATATCGTCACGTGGCTGAGGGAAGACTCAGGTAGTTGTTAACGTCCTTCCCCATTCTTCAGGCCTCGACCTCATAAGTAGGGTCCAAACTTTGTAACTGCCTAGGAATCTAGATGTGCATATTCAGCTGAAAGTGTAATTAACTCAAATGGAGCTGTCACTATAAGTTTATAGTTTTGTGGTGCTGGCCTCACCAGAACCAGCCACAACATTCCCACCATCTCCTGCTTTGTCTTCTTGCTATAAAAGAGGTAGATGGATTTCTTTTTTTCTTTTTGAGGTGGAGTCTCACTCTGTCACCCAGGCTGGAGTGCAGTGGCATGATCTTGGCTCACTGCAACCTCTGCCTCCTGAGTAGCTGGGACTACAGGTGCACACCACCACGCCTGGCTAATTTTTGTATTTTTGGTAGAGACAGCTTCACCATGTTGGCCAAGCTGGCCTGAAACTCCTGATCTCAGGTGATCTGCCCGCCTCCGCCTCCCAGAGTGCTGGGATTACAGACATGAGCCACTGCACACAGGCTGGGTTTCATTCCTCCACTCCTCCTGAGTCCTCAATTGCTTCTTTGTTTTAACTTTCTGGCAGAGAACTATTGAAGGTACCCTTTTCATTGACTGTAATCTCATCTAGGAAATTGTTGGCTTCTGCCGGACTTTGTCTTGCCTCTGACCGGTACTTGAGCTCCAGAATTAAAGAAAAAATACAAAAAGCATAATAAGCAAATAGTGTTATAATGTACTCACCAGACAACTCAAAACACAAAACTAGCATGTGATTTAGAAAACTACACTTGTTGCTGCCTTATGTAATGGTAGTAATCTTGCTGCACCTGCTGTTGGTGCTGCTACGACCACAGCAGCAGAATTGATACAGGTTCAGTATCCCTGACCCAAAACACTTGGCACCAGAATTATTTTGGGTTTCAGATTGTTTTGAATTTTGGAATATTTGCATTTGCATAATGAGATGTCATGGGGATGGGACTCAAACCTAAACATAATTCATTTATGTTTTATACACTCCTTAGGCACATAGTCTGAAGGTCATTTCATATAAGATTTTGAATAATTTTGTGCATGAAACAAAGCTTTGACTGTGACCCATCACATGAGGTCATAAGTGGAATTTCCACTTGCAGTGTTTTGTTTTGTTTTGTTTTGTTTGAGACAAAGTCTCTCTCGTCGCTAGACTAGAGTGCAGTGGTGCGATATCGGCTCAGTGCAACCTCCACCTTCCAGGTTCAAGTGATTCTCATGCCTCAGCCTCCCGAGTAGCTGGGACTACAGGCATGTGCCACCCCAGCTAATTTTTGTATTTTTAATAGAATTGATGTTTCACCATGTTGACCAGGATGGTCTTGATCTCTTGACCTCGTGATCCGCCCGCCTTGGCCTCCCAAAGTGCTGGGATTACAGGCGCGAGCCACTGTGCCCAGCTGGTGTTATGTTGGTGTTCAAAAAGTTTTGGCTTTTGGAGCATTTCAGATTTTGAATTTTTCAGATTAGGGATGCTCAGCCTGTTCCTGCTGTCAATTTGCATTGCTTATCACCTGCTACCTATCACAAGCCTCAGGAGGAGGGACCACTTGTTTCCCCTGGGATGGAGGCCCAAGAGTAAATAATGCCACTGGTAAGGGGCACATCTGCAGTTTGACACCACAGCCCATAGTCTTAAATCCTTCTCTTGACTATTGCACAAATGTTTTACTATTTGGAAAAAAGTCAAAGAAGAAAGGAAACAGAATTTTTAGGAGCAATTTTGTGGGCAGGAAGAAGTACAGGAGACTGGGTAGTATTTTACTAGATTTTCCAGAACTGGAAATCTAGCCCAGGTTCTAGGATTCAAACCCTGTGTCCCTGGCTCCCTCCAGAATCTTCTTCTCAGAGCAAAACAGCACTATTAAGAGCTTAGGACAAGTGCGAAAAGGCAACGCTGCTCATTTTATGCATTCGTAAGTTTCCTTTCTTTAATAAGCCACCATACAACCACAAATATCTTATTAATACATTCTTTTACCAGCCCTAAAGGGAGCAAGAAGATCTGGTAATTGATCTATAGCACATCAGTTTGACATATTTAAAAATTAACACAGAAATAATTTCTGAGAAAAATGTTCAAGACTTACTGTAAGTATATGGCATTTAATGTGACAAAATTCTCCCAAGTTAAACTTCAAAAAGAGAGAAAATAGATTTTTTTCACCTGTTCCTTTTCCTTTTGCCCTTCCTCCCTACCCTGAATACAATGCTCTTGAAAGCCCAAATTTAATATTACAAAACCATGTAGTCGTCTTTGCTGGTCTTGAGAAGGTGTAAAATCCTAAATTGATTTAGTGCTGACCTCTGGGTATCGTTTACATTCAACTCTGCTGTTTGTCATCTTCAAGAGGAGTATACTGGGTACTTGCTTGATGTGCCAGGTGTCTGGAATACTTGGTATGACAGAGACTACGACTGCTTGAGAACTGTCACACCAGATAGCCGAGATCTGTTTATGTTACTGTGTTTGCAGTGAGCCATCTGAGAGAGTAGAAATTAAACATGTTTTCTTAATGTGAGGAAAAGCAGTTTCATCTTTGCATTTGATTATACATTGGAGACAGCATCCCTTTCCGAAGCATCTTAGTGGGGAAACCTTGAGTTTATAAACATTTAGTACTGGCAACACTTGGCTTATTTTTATTTTTACCTTCATTATGATTGGCTGCTAAAGGACTATCAGCGGTTATCTATTGGTTTTTATGAAGAGGCCAAATCTCATAGGAACGATGTTCTCCCCTCACGTCTCTCAAAGTGAAAAATATAGCTTTGCATAGCCCTAGCCGCAGCGGCACCAGCAGCAACTTCCCCCAGCTCTCCCCGACCCCCCCCCACCAAAAAAAAAAAAGCAAAAAAAAAAAAAAAAAAAAACTGGAGAGAAATGAATGGCAGAATAAATAATTTATGCTAATGAAATTACTGCAATTAGTAGTTCTACAATGACCCTTTTAAAAGCCACAGCTGTAAATGTCAGGAAGTGCTGTCACTACTGACCTTATCATAAGAGAAAGTGACAAATTGAGAATGCAGGGAAGACCAGTCATCAAAGAGGTCTGTTCTGGAACGATTAGAGTTTTCTGAAAAACAGTGTGAATTACAACCAGCTGCTCCCTGGCTCAGTGAGTCTCCCATGCTGTGCCATTTTGTTAAGCTCGATAACAATAGTTATTTTGCCCCATTGAGACAAGTTGTCTGGGGCCACTTTCAGCTCTACCGGAAACCACTTCTTCCATCCCCAATTTACAAATGAAACTGTTGTTAAAGAGAGCTTTCAGCGCCTCCAAGGAGCCTCCTCATAAGGATTATGGTTGGGCAGAGGCCAGAGGGGTTTTTTTTCCCCTCTCTAAGGAAGTTACACTCGGCTGAGGAAGTATTTATCTATTTTGTAGAAAGGTATGTATGTACCTTTAGTTCCCATTAAAACAAGACAGGGCAGGAGTAAATTCCTGCACATGTCTGTATGGAAGTCAAGCTCTTGTAAAAAATACAGTCTCCAAGGGATTACGGTTTACATGAAGTTGATGTAAACTTTTTCATTTTATTTTTCTGAGTCTACTGTTTGAAAATATATTTGTATCTAGTGTCCACTAGAAACCAAGAATATTCAGAATTTATATCACATTGTATTTAACTTTAATTACAGTAATATACATTATTTCCTTTACTAGTGAGGTGGATTTTAATACTCAGCACAGTCCAATATGCAGGTATTTTAAACCCACTTGGGAATTTGTCCTGATGTTGGAAGGTTAGTTGTTTAAAGACATTGTTCAAGAGCAGTTGTTTTTCACCAACAAGAACTGGCCTGTCTCCCCTCGCACCTCTGCTCCTAATATTAATGGTGCAGGTTTGAAATGTTTGACTGCATCACCAGCCACTTGTGTGCAGTTTTCCGAAAGATGCCCGAGCCTTATTGGCAACACTTTGGTAAATTACGTGTGACTTTCCTAAGAGTCGGTGTCGCTCATTTAATTCATATTAATTGATTTTTAGGCTTCCCTTGATTAATTGAACCTGGTTCATCTTGTACAGAATGCAATAAATAATCATTAAAATGAGGGAGATGTGACTCCACAAATTGAAAAGTTAACTACTTCAGAAGTCATAGAGGACAAAAACGGAAAAAATGTATAGTCGGGGTCCTCCAGTAACTCTTTGAAGGAGAGTTGCTCTTTCTGTAGGTTTTTTTCCTAAATTAGAGTAGAAATGATCATGATATTTTTCTCCCAGAAGCAGTGACGTATATACCCTACTATCCAGTTTGTTTTTACATGAGTTCTCATAGAACTGTGAGTTTCCGAGTTTTGGCTTTTTTTTTTTCCCCCCCAGTGTCTTTGAAGGGTTATTGCTTCTCTTTGTCTAAAGCTTAGTTTGAAATCATTGGCACAAATATTTTTCAGGATATCGTGTCTGTTTCTCTACCTTCTCTTTCACGTGCATATAAAAGTCAAGTTGTGAAGAAGAGCCGTTCTTAGATGTTGGCTTGCAGGTTTGGTATGTGAAGCACACACAAGTCCTTTGTCCTACTTGGCAAGAAGAAGGTTAATCAAGCTGAATGCTTTACTGTAATCTCCCTAATCCTGTGGATAGCTCTTAAAGATTAAATAAGTTTTCCTAGGTTATCCTATAATTTTTTTCTGACTTTTAGGGAAAAAAGATCATTTTTTTTATTTTTCTTCTTTTTTTTAAGTCGTATTTTTAACTTGAGAGGATTTCACATGAATTGTAATGTTTATGTTTTCAGCCACAGCACAAGGACTCCATTAGCCTTTTCATGGCACACGTTCACACCACTGTAAATGAAATTAGTGCCAGGTATTACCAGAATGAGAGAAGACGCAACTATACTACCCCAAAGAGTTTTCTAGAACAAATATCACTGTTTAAGAACCTGTTGAAGAAGAAGCAAAATGAGGTATCTGAGAAAAGAGAACACTTGGTGAACGGCATCCAAAAGCTAAAAACCACAGCCTCTCAGGTATGACCAGGACGTGTTATTACTGAGTGACATTGATGCTGCTTAAGAGAAAAATGTATTTCCTTTTGAAGCACTACTAAATCCATTTCTGTAAGATGCCAACTGGTGAAACGTACAGTTTGATGACCCAAAGAACACACTGCTACTGCTTTCTGGAGCCTAGAATGGGATTGGCCGATGACTTGTCACAGCTGGTTTAGGGAGAAACCTTCTCTTCCTGGCCTGACTCAGTGCAAGGCAGCGTGGGATATTGAAGGGAGCAGACACAGCGGTTGCCTCTCTTGTCTCTGACTTCTTCAGTGCACGGTACTTGTTGTCAAGGTTTTTAACATCCTGGGATAGACCAGTATCCCTTTTGGTCTCAGATTCTCAACTTCTAATGAGGGCATCATTTTCTGGCTAATGACTGTGGCAAGATCCCAAAGCAGAGCTGTTTCTCCTACCTTGGTGACTGGTCTGCTCCTCTTAGCCACCAGCACACTTAGATAAAAGTGTCCGGTATCATCTTTGTCCTCAGTCCTAAGACCCCTGTTCCCACAAAGGGTGATACCTCTAATTTGCAGATATAAATCAGGAGCAAATCAGCACAGGATGTTAATCATGTGTGGTTCTATGCTCATGACAGTATTTCACTTTTAAAAAACGGAGGATTTCATGAAGTAGGTGTTACTGTAATTTTATATGTGACGTAATTTTATATATGAAAGACAATTGCCATCATTCTTTCCATCAAGATGTCATGTGTCAATCAAGACTTCCTGTGTCTTCACAGATTTTCTATCTGTGGTTCTTAGCCAAGGGGGAGTAAAGAGACCCAGGCAGCCCCATACTCAGCAAACACAGTGAACAGGCTCTGTTCACGCCAGGAGGAGGTTTCTCTCTAAACCAGCTGTGACACCGAAATCGGCCAATTTTATTGTAGGCTTTGGAACATTCTTATTCATCAACTTACAGAGTTTAAGACCAGAGAGCCAGCAAGGCTGGGTTTTAAACCCAGGTCTGCTCTGATGCCTGTGAGTTGTCCATGGTACCATGCTGCCTCTCTGTGGCTGAAAAGAAGAGGCTGGAATGAGAGACTCTGGAGACTTTGAAGAGTAGCCCAGCCCTTCTCTGAGCCAGCCAGGACTTACAGCTGGAGTGAAAAGAATTCTCACTGCAGGTCACCTCAAGACTAGAAATACTGGTGGCCTTTTCAGAGTGTTGTCATCAGGTCGCACTCTGATATGCTTTACAAGAATTGGGCTAGTCATTTCCCCCATGTGGCCTGTGTGACCCACCTGTGGCTAGGCTACAAATAAGCTGAGGCCCGAAGGAGGGAGCACGTTTTCATGTGGGTACCTTTTCACTTTGAAGGGCTCTCTGGTCATATCCTTCAGCCACTCTGGGCCAAAGCACCACTTGCCTCTTTCCCTCTTAGTTTTATACGCCAAGGGTGACTCTGTGGCAAAACACTGTGATCTGTACTAAGCAAAGTAGATGGACCACAATTGAGAAAGAGAAGCCAGAGTGAGGAGGTTTCCAAGACAGTTGGGATCAAGTGATATTAAGAATAGGCATGGTGGCTCACACCTGTAATCCCAGCACTTTGGGAAGCCAAGGCTGGCGGATCATGACGTCAGGAGTTTAAGACCAGCCTGGCCAATATGGTGAAATCCTGTCTCTACTAAAAATACAAAAGTTAGCTGGGTGTGGGGGCACACACCTGTAATCCCAGCTACTCCAGAGGCTAAGGCAGAAGAATCACTTGAACTTGGGAGGCAGTGATTACAGTGAGCTGAGATCATGCCACTGCACTCCAGCCTGGGTGACAGAGCAAGGCTCCATCAAAAAAAAAATAAGTAGTTTCCAGGAAACCCACAAATAGCATATCCATATTTGTATACCTTCTCCTTCCTTCTCAAAGAATGCCTGTTTAGGCCGGACACAGTGGCTCACACCTTTAATTCCAGCACTTTGGGAGGCTGAAGGAGGAGGATTGCTTGAATTTGGGAGTTTGAGACCAGCCTGGGCAACAAAATGAGACCCAATCACTACAAAAAAAATTTTTAATGAGCCTAACATGGTGGCACACACCTGTAGACCCAGCCACTTGAAAGACTTAGACAGGGGGATCCCTTGAGCTCAAGAGTTTGAGGTTATGGTGTGCTGATTGATTGGGTCACTGAGCTCCAACCTGAGCAAGAGTGAGACCCTGTCTCAAAAAAAAAAAAAAAGAATGTCTGTGTTACCTGTTTGTTTTTATTCACACCTTATTTTACTTTCTTGTTTTTGTCCTTCTCGATGTCTGTTTTCTTCTGTCTATCCTCTTCTACCTCATTGAAATCAAGACTCCTTTTCATAAGAAAGATTTTCCCAGGAGTCCTGTTGTGGTGAATAAGACAAGGAAGGAGCTCTGTGTCTCAGTGTATTTCTATCCCTTTGAATGCTGTCCCAACCTGAACCTGTTGACTTTGCCCACAGGAAATGATAGTGTTGTCACCCAAACAGCTTTCAATACTGTGGGGCACCCTTGGCAAATAAATAAGTGCTATTGCCATACTTAAAGGGTATTTTCCCCAAATGACACAGCTAAGGGCAAGTGGGTTACCATCCTGGACCATTCCAGCGGTGGCAGCATCTCAACCATAGGAAAAAAAGAAGAGTAGAGAGACTCTGATGTCTTAATAATCACCTCGGTTATGTATTGAAGAGTGAGGGGGATGGGCGAGAAAGAGAAATGAGAGCCAGTTCACTGTGTCTGCCGAGTCAGGGCTGCCTGGGTCTCTTTACTCCCCCTTGGCTAAGAACCACAGGCAGAAAGTCCGTGAAGACACAGGAAGTCTTGATGGAAAGACTGACAGTGATTTCTTTTCATCAGGTATTTGTGTATAGAATGCTCTATCAAAAAAAAATGGTTGGAATAGTCAGTAGGTACATGGTAGTTTTAGAAATAAGTGGGTTATGAAAAGGAAGGATGATTTCCTATGTGGAGAATTGGAGAGCCATATAGCATAAGGTCAGGTTGTATGGAGAGCGTAATGCCTGCATATTGGGGCATGTGTCCTCTAGGGGTCTGCGTTAAGCAACTCTGTGTCATTTGAAAACCTTAGCAATGTTCATTCTTTACAGTAAAGCTGTAAATCCTTTTTATAGCCAAATCACCCCTCTCTAGATGTCAGCTTAGGTCATCATAGATAGTCATAGTGACCTTTCTTCATAAATAAAGCCTTACTTCCACGGCTTCACCCACCTTGAATATTGCAGACCTAACAGCTTCCTTAGAAACTGAAATTACGGATTGAAATAACATAATTTTGTCCTGGTCTATTGGGTGATTCTTTTCCCTTTATTTCTATTTTGAGATGATTAAATTAGATTCAGAAGAAATTACAAAATGTAGAACAGACAGGTCTGTGTCACATCTTATAGGTCTGGTGGTAGCATCTGCGTAACTAGTACAATGTCGAAACCAGGAAAGTGGCATTGGTCCAATCCACAGACCTTATTCAGATTTCCAGGGTTTTTTGTTGGTGTGTGTGTGTGTACATGTGTGTGTGCGTGCTTAGTTTTATGCAGTTTTACCATATGTAGGTCTGGGGATTCACTACCATAGTCAAGACACAGAAAACTGCCATCTACAGAAAGATCCCATATTGCCATTTTATAACCACACCTACAACCTCTCTTCCCTTCCCGCCTCCTGAATCCCTAGTTCCTGGCCATTGCTAATCTGTTCTCCATTTCTATAATTTTGTCATTTCAAAAATGCTATATAAATGGAGTTATATAATATGTAAACTTTGGTTATGGTTTTCCGTACTCGGCATAATTCCCCTGAGATCCGTCCAAGGTATTGGGTGTATCCATAATTTGTCCTTTTTTATTGTTGGGTAATATTCCGCAGTATGAAGGTAGCACAATTTAACCATTCAACCATTGGAGGACACCTGGGTTATTTCTGGGTTTTGGCGGTTATAAATGAAGCTGTTATGAATACTCATGTACAGGTATTTTTTTATAAACATAAATCCACAAGTGACTAAAAATGAAGTTACTGGATGGTATGGTACTTGCATGTTTATGTTTATAGAAAACAGGCAAATATTTTCCAGAATGGCTGTGACATTATGCATTACTGCCAGCAGTGTATGGGAGATTCAGTTTCTCAGCTTCCTTGCAGGAATTTGGTGGTATCTCTAATTTTTATTTTAACCATTCTCATAGGCGTGTAGTGATACGGTGGTTTTCCTTGCATTTTCCCGATTGGTGATTGTTTTGACTATGGCCTAACATAACACTAGTTTCATACAGCTGAAAAGAGCAGAGAAGCATGTCACTCTGCAAAGTTACCCTGCATTCATAGAGAGACTGCAAAATCAGTCACAGCTTCACTTACTATAATAGTACAAGCAGCAGTCATAGTAGTAACCATGCTTTTTAGCTAGAGCGTGAATATGCTGTGTTGGGTGGAAATTACAGGATCCCTCGGATATAGTAGTGAGATGTTGTTCCACAAGATGAAACAACTGAAATGTCTTTAGCAATTGAGTTAAAATAAATGATTATGGTGGTTCTTTGCTGCTATGATTTTTCAAATGGTAATATTTGTACTTTTGGAAAAGAAATGCAATGGAGAGTTAATTACTGGGATGTATACAGCTGCTTTCAGATACTTCTGATAACTGAGTCGTGTCTTTTTCTCTAGCACCTCACTTCTGCTCTTAGTTACATGACCCTCAAACTGAGGAACCTAGTAATGCCCTGTGAACCTAATGAAATTTTAAAAGAAAATATTGAGAGTTCTTTTTAGCAGATGAATTTGTGGATTTCTCAGAAGGCTGAGTTCTCCAAGAGCTGAGTAAGGTTATTTAGTGACGGGCTGATGGGAGACATACATGTCCCTGAAGCTCACTAAGTTTTGGCCACAGCATACTAATGCCTCAAACACACAGTTTGCTCTTCTTAGTAGTTATTAAGTTGAATATTGGGTTAGCTTCACGATCATAAATGAGGTGAAAAAAATCTAGAGGGCCATTTTCTATTTGATGGGAAAAGGTGAGACCTGTCATTGCGCTTTTTAATATGCAGCCAAATAATCTGTAGTCAGGCAAGGAGTACTTGAGTCTTCAACCCACTGAAGCCTCCAACAACTCTCTGTTGGAGAGTGAGAGGCATGGGTCTTCCAGTTTATCACCAAGTATGTCTTCCCACAACTTCTGCTTCGTTGAGCCTGATCTGTCTAGGACCTGAAGGCAGATGTTGGGGAAGGAGTATGTGATTGGACAGAAGGAAGAGAAGCTTCCCTACTCAACCTGTTAGTACTGGCAAAAATTAATTATATTTCCTGCAAAATTATTGGAAAATATTATTCTGTTTGTTCTCATGGAGAAAAACAATGTGGCTGCATTTTTGCAGATCAGAATGTAAAATCAGGGTGGAAACAGACACAAGATACAAATTGTTAGGTATCCTGAATTCATTCCCAACAATAAGCTCTACCTGGGATTTGTTGTGACCAAGGCAAGTGCCATAACAATAGTGACTTTTCCTTTAGGTGGGAGATTTAAAAGCCAGACTTGCCTCTCAAGAAGCCGAGTTGCAACTGAAAAATCATGATGCCGAAGCTCTAATCACGAAGATTGGACTTCAGACGGAGAAAGTGAGCCGGGAAAAGACCATCGCTGATGCTGAGGAGCGAAAGGTCAGGCTAATTCTACCATTTAGAGTGCTGAGCTATATTTAGCACAAAATAAACCTTGGTAGGTGAACAATTTTGAACAAGTTCCTCTCCAGGGAGCATAAAGTCTAAAGAATTATTATAGTTACACATGTAACAGCATTTCACACCATGATTACCACTTGACCTTTCTTTACATTGTGCATTTCCCCAACCTTTTAGCTCTTTTAATGATATGAAAGAACAATAAATACTGAGCTTATTCAAGCATATAATGGATGTGGATCTTGAACATCAGGCCTATTTGTAATATAGTAAAGGTCAGGAAGTCACCTCTGAGGTTTTTTAAAGGTTTCCATTTTTTAGGCAAATTGAACAACTCAATTGTTAACAAAGCCCATTCCATCACTTTGCAAGATGGTTTTCAAATCTTGCATTTTAATAATACAACTGGAGTTTATTATTAAGTCCTAGGCTAAATTTGTTCTTTTTGATTCGATTGAGACCCTGGCATTCTGTATTGTGCTTTATTGTTGGAAATAATTTCTTTTAAGATTATGTAGATTCTGCTTTCTTTCTACTCAGGGTTCTAGCAGTTCTGAAATACGTCTTTTGTCATCTTCTTTTCCAAAACGTCAGCTACAGATGGAAGACATTGTTTTGTACATCTGACTGATTTCTCAAAAGAAACACCATAGTAAACAGAAACATTTTAATACATATTTGTTTAAAAATTGAGTGTACATGTATAAGGTAAAAATTTCTTATTTTAGACAAAAGATTATAATCAGGGCCTAAGTAATAACAAGTTATGAGTTGCTAACATGCTCATACCCATTGGATCAGTAGTGATTATGCCATTTTTTCTTGTATTTTAGGGTACTTGAAAATTTGAGTTTCCCAGTGGTGTTGCCATTCATACACAACTGAGTTGTTTTGCTTTTTTTTCTAATACATATTGAGCATGTTTTTCTTGCACAACTAAAGACTTGAAAAGTAATTGAACATCAAAACTAGAAATGGTTTTAAGAAATAAGATTATGACATTTAAAATTGAAGATAAAGCACATTTGACATGATCAAGGGGCATATGATTCCTATTTAGAGTCATAAGCATTTCTGTTGAGTTGCAGTTAAGTGGAGAATGTCCCTTAAAGTGTATTATTGGGGTTGGCGCAATGTCTAATGCTTGTAATCCCAGCACTTAGGGAGACAGAGGCAGGAGGATATCTTCAGCCCAGGAGTTGGAGACCTGTCTGGACAATATAATGATACTCTATTCTCCATAAAAGAAGGGCAAAAAAGACAAAATATATCATTATATTGAGGAATTAGGTATCACACATGATGTAATTACCATGAGCTAATTCCACCCAGGGAATGTTTTTCAAGCATTACACAAACATGTGATATTCTAGTATTTATTATATCATAACCTACCATCACAGATACTTGTTGGAAAACTTAAAATATAAATACTGCAGGAGTTTTTTTTTTTTTTTTTTTTTTTTTTTTTGCATTTTTACATGTGAATTCTTAAGGAAAAATTACCCTCATAAAAGGAGAAAGAAGTTTTAGCAAATTAGAACTCATCCGACAGGTCATTTAGTGAAGTTCTTCAAACACAAAGAAGAAACATACTATTTTAATATTTAATCCATACCAAGACATAAATATACTTCTAAATGTTTTCACTTTATCCATAGAACTTAGTTTAATTATAAATAACAATTATTAACTGAACATCTGCTTTTCCACCGGGCACTGTTGGAGACTATTAGGGATATTTGACAAGCAGTGAGCTCTCATGTAAATTGCATTGCCATGAAAAAGACTGACAGGAGACATGTTACACATTGAGAAGCAGAATATTTCAAGATAGGTGCTCTGATTAAAATCAAGAAGAGAGCTATTGTAAATTGGGTATGAAAGGAAGTTCTTTTGTAATTAAACTAGGTAGCATCTAGAAATTCATCAACACTTGAGTCCATGATGTGGGCTCACATTAGTCATATGTCCAACAATGTGGTAGATACTACATTATGCCATACTAAAGGGGTGAATATGGACTGTTTTTGTCCTATGAAATTGGGGTCTCAAGTCTTCACACATAAGCAGTAATTTAAAAGCAACTGTGCATAGCTCACAAAGTGCAGAACCACGTTTAATATGACTAAACAAATGTTGGGGTTCAAACTCTCTTGCTGTGTGTCTTGAGAGCCCATAGAGAGAAGCAGGCTGAAATCATTGCTTCAGATTTGTAAGATAATCAAGGGCAATTTGAACCATTGGCATTGCCAGCAATGACTTCAAGTCACCAAGCATCATAAGCCTGTGAAAATGAGTTCTTCCTCCATATTTGTTTGGCTTCTCAGCTCCAAATTCTAAAATGCTAAGAATCCTCTGATTGCTTCCAAACTGTGTTCTCCCTTGAGTAGACTGTAAGCCTTCGTGAGTAGGGGTGCCTTCTAAATTGAAGCGCTCATATCATGTCTTCAAAAGATGAATGTCAATCTTGATTTGGAGAGGCTATCAGTTTTTGTGTGTATTTCTGTTCTGAATGTGGATAGGCCTGGGTTTCAGAGGATCATAAGGAAATTCTTATATTCCAAAGGCAGGTAAGTGCACTGTATCAGTTTGCTAAGGCTGCCATGAAAAATACCACAGATTGGGAGACTTCAACAATAGCAGTTTATTTTCTCCAAGTTCTGGAGGCTGGAAGTCCATGATCAAAGTATTGGCAGGTTTGGTTTCTCCTGAGGCCTTCTCCTGTGGCTTGCAGATGGCCGCCTTCTTGCTATGTCCTCACCTGATCTTTTCTTTGTGATTACTTCTCTGACGTCTCTTGTGTGTGTCCAAACTTCTCACCCCAATCAGTTTGAATCAGAGCTCACCCTAATGACCTCAGTTTAGCCTCATCACCTCTGTAAAGGGCCTGTTTCCAGATACAGTCAAATTCTGAGCTTGAGTCTTCAACATAAGAATTTTAGGTGGACATGATTTAGCTCATAACAAGAAGTTATTGGGACTTCATTCTCTTTTTTCTCTTCCTGTGATCATCACTAAATCATAAGAACATCTGCAACGGGCTGTTGACTAATACAAGGCAGAGACTTTCTGGTCTACCCAAAGGGGGATCTGTCTCCAAATTCCTGCTTTAATTTACACTGGTAAGGGGAAAGCACATCCTCTAGGCACTCCATGCAACTCGTCTCCCATTTAATAGGTTGAGCCTTGCTGACCACTGCCTAGGAGCCACTGGGCAAAGGAAGTTGCACACTAGCTTACCAGCTCATGGAGATACACAGAATTCTCACTCTTACAGTATTGCACCTTAGGGTCAGAAGTGTTGAGGATGAGAAATAAGTTGGCCAACCTGAGACTTTTCTTCATTTGTATGAGTGGGTTTTAATGTTCACGATTGTTTTGTTTCTAAAAATTGCCCAAAAGAAAAACACTTCATTAACAGTAAAGGAGTCAGAAAAGAGTAGTAGCTCCTAGGCTGATAGAAATAGCACTTTAGCCAGGCGCAGTGGATTACAAACAGCCAATATGGTGAACCCCTGTCTGTAAAAATACAAAAATTAGCTGGGCATGGTGGTGTGCACCTGTAATCCCAGCTATTTGGGAGACTGAGGCAGGAGGATCGCTTGAACCCAGGAGGCAGAGGTTGCAGTGAGCCGAGATTGTGCCACTGCACTCTAGCCTGGGTGACAGAGCGAGATTCCATCTCAAAAAAAATTTTTTTTTAAATAAATAAACCTGAGGTGATAACTCCTTCACTCACATAAACTTTCTTTTATCAGTAGCAGTGTTCTGTAGCATACTGAAAATCTTTGTGGTCCATTCCTGGAAGCTTTTGAGGGTTGTGGTTTTGGGGTAGTTCTCAGTAAGCATTCAGGGTTTTCTTATTTACATTAACGATAGCTGTGTGTGTATTAGCAGGAGGCTTGTATCTACCCTGAACCAATTATGTTCATAAAAAGTGCAGCACACAGCAAAATAATTGTGAATCAGGAGAAGGGTAATTACTGCTAATAAAGCTGGAGTAGACAACATAATTTGCTGTAAGCAGTGTTTAATTTTGTGGTATAGTTAACCTGTTCATTTCAAACACATCCGAAGAAATATACTTGTGTTCACACTTTGTATTTCACAGTCACCATCACCACAGGGACCATCCCCCATGGTGGCTAGATCCTGGTGGCCAGTGCCACAGCTTTTAAACTCAAATTTCTACTGCATACTAAAAATTAACTTTTCCTGGCCTTTCACATTCTATAGGTATCTTAAGGGGAGGAGGATAAACCACCCTCCATCCCCGCCTCCGCTTCTCATTTTGGTTTGGTTCAAGTTTACCAGTATGACTTTCTTCTATATTATATATCACGTCAGAAGGCTAGTGCAGCACCCTCTGTGGACGGGGAAGAGGTGCCACTGGACCCACAAGAGGAGAGTGGGTATCAGTGCCATTGTTCCAGTACCGAAGGCAGAGGTGGGCTCTTGCATCTGTGTCTTCTTCCCATGTCTGTGGAGAAACCAGTAATTAGTCTTCACTAAAATTGTATTTATAGGTAGGCATGCGATCCATGACCACAAAAAGGATATCTTCCCACCAGTTGAACAAAAGAGCTTCAAATCTTTTCTTTAGGAATAGCCAACATGGCTTCTAAGCAAAAGTTAGCAAAAATTAGAGAATCCTAGCGAGAATATTTTGTGGTCTAGGTTGCTAAGCTAACCCAGATGTTTATCCAGGACTCTCTGAAAAAGAAAACTGAAGAACAGAGGAATCACTTAATCTTGCTTTTACTATTAGTGGTACCTTATAATTAGATTAGTCAAAGCTTTCTTGGAGCATTGGAACTCGAATCCATTTATGTTGAGATTTGTTACTGTGTGTTCTTTACATTTACAAAACTTTGTGTACATATTATGTCTAAAGGAAAATTAGTCTGTTTAACAAATTTCTCACCTGTTCAAAGTACCGGGGAAATGAATTATTTAACAGTGCATCTGAGTCAACCTCCATTTTTTCTTTAGAGATATCTGTGATAATAATTTATGCATTATGTAGGTTTGTGTGCTTTTCCTCTCTAATTAGGTGACAGCCATTCAGACTGAAGTGTTCCAGAAACAGAGGGAATGCGAGGCTGACTTAGTCAAGGCTGAGCCTGCACTGGTGGCTGCTACAGCTGCACTCAATACACTCAACAGGGTAAAGATGATTTTTTGGTCCCTGAGTTTCCTCAAAGTAATATTTAGGGGTTATTAGAGTTTGAATAACTGAGCTGAGAGTGTGGCCCATGCAGCCAAAAAGTGTTTTAAAAGGAAAGAAACACCCATGAATTTTTTTGTTGTTTTGAGAGGGAGTCTGCTCTGTCGCCCAGGCTGGAGTGGAGTGGCACGGTCTTGGTTCAGTGCAACCTCTGCCTCCTGGGTTAAAGTGATTCTCCTGCCTCAGCCTCCTGAGTAGCTGGGATTATAGGCATCTGCCACCACACCCAGCTAATTTTTGTATTTTTAGTAGACATGGGGTTTCACCACATTGGTCAGGTTGGTCTCAAACTCCTGACCTCATGATCCACCCACCTCGGCCTCCCAAAGTGCTGGGATTACAGGTGTGAGCCACTGCACCTGGCAACACCCATAGATCTTAAAGTTGAAACAAACCTTTGAGGTCGATTACTGTTCCACTTCTTTTCTCCATCCAGGACTCTGTCCTACGGCATCCCAATAAGCAGTCTCCTTTTTAATATTTCCAACCCTATGGGATTTATACTCTTATGAAAGGCAACTGGATTGTTGGTAACTGGATTTGACACAAATCCAATTTTTCATATCGTGCGTTGCTTTAAGAACTAGACAAGGCATTCTTTATTTCCTCTGGAATAAGATAAAGAGTAGCATTGATGAGAGAGCCTCGGGGAAAGAATAGTAGGAGCAAAGATACCTAGTTTTGGTCCCCACCATTTCTTCAAGCTTCATGTTGTTAGTAAAACGTCCCTAAGCATTCAAATTCTTATAAGAGAAAGTAAGCTGTGTTCATCACAAGCATATTGTTAGGGAAAGTAAAATGCAACCAATGTTTTTTTAGGAGCCTGCAGCTAATCTCATCCTGGGGTCTTCCCCTACCTAGACCTCTAGGGAGAGCTCAGGAAATCACTGGGCCTGAGATTCTTAAGATTCCATTTTAGAACATAAAGAATCTAGACTTTCACTGTTCCTCATAGAAATACTGAATTCCTTTTCTAAGTATTTTTTGAAGAAAACAATTTTGACTGTCAGTAAAGAGATACTTACATTGGTATTTCTTATAGTATTTCCATAAAACCAAAAACTTTTAAATGGAATCATAGCATGCTAGAGCTCCGATTATTACACATTCAAATACCTTGCTGCCGTTAAAATAATACTGTTAAATGCTAGTTAGCAATCTGAGAAGATAACCATGATATATTAAGAGAATAAAGCAGATTATAAAATAGGGTATTTTCTATGACTAATTGTTTTGATAAGAATATGTGTACAGAAAAAGATTGGAAAAAAGGGTAATTGGTTTTCTCTGAGTAATGGAATATATATTTTTTATTGTGTTTTTCTAAATTTGCAGATTTTTCTCTGCATAATTACTCTTTACTCAGGCAAAATAAATTAGCACTACTTAAAAGATAAAGGTGTATGTATTTCTAAATTATAAAAAAATCTTGGTTAGCCAGCTCTCATTTATTATTAGCTCTCATTTATTATTTATTTTAAGTCTTTGTTTTTTTTCTTGCTTTCAGTCTCTTTCCATTCTTTGTAATTATTTACCAAATAAATAGGCAGTTTCTGATAAGGGAGCAGAATCAGGTTCAACATTTGATAAGGTTTTATAAGCAAAAATATATTATGTAGCACAGAAAATACCTGGTTGGTGGCTTTTGTTTTTTAAATCATGTATTAAATATCACAAGGCTATATGAGCTTCTTATATGTGCTAGTGCCTGCTTCAAAGTATTTGCCCTGATACATATAATTTATACTATTAATATCATCTCTTGGATTAATCAGTGGTCTGACCTGAGGAGATTAAGGAGTAGAGAAGAAGGTTCAGCCTATCTTGGCTGTCTCCTACTTGAGAGTCTCTGTAATGTAATAGAAAATATTTCTTACTCGTACACGTAAGACAGAAAAACAAACCTAAGAGACACTGAATTAAGGAATTATGTGTCTGGGAGTGGCTTGGTTAAGATACAAATCTATTACATAGTGGGATAGAACCTACAAATATCTTACAACATATATACACATACACACGTGTGTATGTATATATACATATGTATGTGTACATGTATGTGTATATATACACATGTATGTGTATATATACATCTCTATATGATATATCTATGTGTGTGTGTGTATATATATATATACATATCTATGTATATATCATACATCTTTGTATATATACACACACACACTACACACACCCCTCCTGGCCTCAGTGACTCAGTGAGCAGGGCTCTGCAGGACTGATATACAGATCATTTTTCTTGGAGGCAAAAAGGGAAGTGATATCTCCAGAGAATCAGAGAAGTGCCCAGCATGAACTGAACCTCTTGGAGTTCCAAGCTAGAGTCCCCAGGTAGCAAAGAATTGCCAAATGGAGACTGGTCTGATACAAAGATATGGGAGGCCACTAAAAACTAGCTTGGCAACTTACAGAGTTAATCTAAACCTCCCCTAATCCTGTATGTGTGTGTGTATGCTTTTTTTCAGGTCAACCTCAGTGAGCTGAAAGCCTTTCCCAACCCCCCCATTGCAGTTACCAATGTTACTGCAGCGGTGATGGTCCTTCTGGCTCCTCGGGGAAGAGTGCCCAAAGACCGAAGTTGGAAAGCAGCTAAAGTCTTCATGGGAAAGGTATCAGCCCAGCCTGCAAAGATGAAAATTCTAACAATTTCCATACTGTTTTCAGGACTGTGGTTATCCTTAATAGCAAAAGATGTTCCAGTCAGAAGAAATCATCTTAATAGTTGTTGAATGTGATCCACTTTATATATTCTCTAGACTTACAGTTTTTGTTTGCCAAGTTGGAGGTTAGCTTGGGGTTATGGCAAACCTAAGTCAATGCCAGCAGCAGGTGGAAGGTTGCTAATTATTTGCAAAATTATGAAAGCAGTTAAGTGTAGGAGGGAGAAAATTACATGGATTTCTTAGGTTGGAAAAATGTTACTAATGTATAAGAAGGTGAAGCACAGGGGCTTTTTGGTGTGTTTTTGCTTTTTCTTTTCTGCCTTTCTTTTCTTCAAAATGTGAATACCTCCTGTGCCGGGACTGAATATTTTACCCTAGGATAGAAGAGGTTTTAAAAGTGTCCATTGCTAATTCTAACTTAATGCTATAAAGACGGAAGAAGTGAAACAGTAGGATAAATGCAGCTTGCCAATTTTGCTTTTGTAATGTGAGTCCTAAAAGCTGATTTTAACTTTTGATCTTGGAATTTTCTCTGCAGCCAAAATGGGTTCACTGCAAAAAGTCTTTTTGCTTTGCAGGTTGATGATTTTTTGCAAGCATTAATTAACTATGACAAAGAGCACATTCCAGAGAACTGTCTAAAAGTGGTGAATGAACAATATTTGAAAGACCCAGAGTTTAATCCAAACCTGATTCGAACCAAATCTTTTGCAGCAGCTGGCCTCTGTGCCTGGGTCATCAACATCGTTAAATTCTATGAGGTATCAATTCTATACTGATTATTTACAGGTATTGTCCCCAAAGGGCCACAGACGCATCAATTTCTAGGTCTGCAAAAAGAGTAAAATCTGTTATTTCATTTTCTGAATAAGAATATATAGTTCTAAGAATAAGACATAAGCATGTCAGGGTAAACAGTTCTCTACAGGAGAATATTTGAAATGTTAGAAACTATCTTTTCTTTTGTGGGTAGAGCGATTGGCTACTTTAGATCAAAGAGCAGTAATTAGATAAAAACTGATACGAATTGTACTTATATACACTTAAATACTGAATTCATGTTGACTTGAGACAACTGCAAATCTGAATTCACATCAGATTAAATGTAGTCCCTTCTCTCAAAGCAACATTCACACCATCTGTATTGCTGATACAGTTAAGAGGAGAAAATAACCATTTCTTTGCTTCAGTATTTTAATTATAGGTAAGAGTTTTGCCTATAGGTGATCTAATCTAAAATCTGTAGTTTTTGGCAGTATATCAATAAATTATCATTTCACTTATTTATTTATCAAATATTTATTGCCAACCAACTGCATTCCAAGTGCTGTGCAGAGTACTTGATACAGAGAGAACAATGCGTGGCCCACAACTCTGAAGAACTCTCATTTTTGTCTTGGAGGGTTCTATGTTGTGTTCATATGTGGAATCACTGAGAAAAAGTCAAAACTGTCAATTCAGTTCCCAAAGTAATTTTCACAAATCCACGTTATTTCCTTTATACTGTGGGGCCCACAGGGAGAGGACTCTCTTGATCTCTCTCCTTAGTGGAAATCTTCATAAAGGAAGAGTTTAGCCAATTGTGGTTGATGTACAGCTTCTGTCTACAGTAAAATGCCTCAACCCTGTCTTCTACTTGTACTGTACGTGAAAAGACAAGCATAGATCTTGACTGTGGCTGCATTCTGTGCTATTTTGCTATAAAATAGGAAAAAAATTAATTTCCTTCCTCTCTCCCCACCAGCAGAAAAATTGATGCACCTAAATTCTCAAATGGTCCATTCAAACAACATGTGCCTAAGGTGGTCAGGAACTTAAAAAGAAGGCGACAGTGTGGTTAATATTGTGTGATATCTCCCACTCTCCTTTCTGTGTTGAGAATTTGTCCACACTTATTTTCTGCCTTAAAGGCTAGGCATGATCTCAACTTTGGCCATAGTTCCTGCGCAGTGCAATTTCTAGTAATATGAGAAGTATCTCCACATTTTATGACAAATTGATTTCAGTATCTTAATGGTGTTTGACTTACATAGCATGTTATGCAAGTACTTGTAACTCTAAGGTCCAGAATAAATAGGTAAAATAACGGTGGACCAGAGAGAATGTGGAAGCTGTGTAGATTGTGCTCTGCTTTTAGGTGGCACCATGTCTGAAAAATAACAGACTAGGTGTGGTGGCATACACCTGTAATCCTAGCACTTTAGGAGACTGAGGTGGGAGAAACCCTGAACAACATGGGAAGACCCCATCTCAATAAAAAAGAAAAAAGAAATTGCTAGATGAATTAGAGATTTTAATGGTAAAGCTTCCATCCTATCTAGGTTCAAGTTATTACGTACCCTCTTTGTATCTTTATTAATTCATGACTTTTCAGGTCTACTGTGATGTGGAGCCAAAACGCCAAGCATTAGCCCAGGCAAACTTAGAATTGGCTGCAGCTACTGAAAAACTAGAGGCTATCAGGAAAAAGCTTGTGGTAAGTACAAACTATGACATTGAAAAGGTTCCCAAGAGGTGTTTCCTGCCTCCACCATAGGATTCCATCCTCAGGCAGCACCATACCTGAGCCCTATCAAACAAAAAGGAATTTGATCTTCCATGTGTGTATTTCCTTAGGTACCATTCAGTAGGTATTTCTTATCTATTCTATGGTAGACCCTGAACTGGGAAAGTGCAAATGTTCATGGTTTTTACAGCTAAGAAACATTTGCAGTCTGAGAGTGGAAAGGGGAGGGCAGTGCACCATAATTCCAGGCAGGGCTTCTGGAGTCAGACTATCTGGTTTATATCTTAGCTCCACTGTCTACTGTTGCATCCCATACAAGGTAGTTAACTTCTATGAGCCTCTGTTTTCTTATCTGTGAAATAGGTGTTGTAAAAGTATGCCTCTCTCTCTTTCTTTTTACCTTTCGTTTCTTTTCCTTTCCTTTATTTTATGTCTGGATGATCTGTTTATTACTGAAGGTGGGGTGTTGAAGTCCCCTGCTATTACTGTATTTCAGTCTAGCTCTCCACTTTGACCTATTAATGTTTGCTCTATATACTTGTTTCTTTGAACAAGCTTTCTACATCTTGCTGTTTTTAAACTCAACTTCAGTGACTGTTAGATGTCTTTTGAGGTCATTCTCTGTAGACATTTGTTATTTTCATTGTTTTTCCTTTTTTCACCTCTGTATTTTCAAATAATCTGTCTTTGAAGTTACTGATTCTTTCTTCTGCTTCATGCATTCTGCTGTTTAAAGCCTCAAATTTCTTTTTTACTTCAGCAAATGTATTTCTCAGTTCTAGGATTTCCTGTTTGATTTTTAAAAAATTATTTCAATCTCTCAAACTCCTGATACATTTCTGAATTGCTTTTCTGTGTTATCTTAGAGTTGGCTGAGTTTTCTTAAACTACTATTTTGAATTAGTGTTCTGGGAGCTCTCATATTATCATCTCATTAGAGTTGGTCATTAGGTCCTTGTTTTGTTTGTTTGGAGAGGTCATGGCTCCCTGTTTTCTGCTGTTTCTCGTGGGCCTACATCTATGACTTTATATGGAAGAATTAGTTATTTTTTCCTGTCTTTGCTGATTGGCTTATTTTGGTCTTTCTGGAGTATGTTTGCTTAGAGGTTATTTGCAGTCATCTGTTGAGTTCCTTAATTCTAGATCACTGCTTCCTTTTCAGCACTATATTGTATGTTAAGCCCAGGTTTGCCTTGACTCTTAGAAATGTTTGAGTACTGACAATCCTGAATTGGGGGTAAGGGGTCCCAAAGAAGATACTCTGGCTTTATGGGAAAGATGGCTACGGCGGTTTGTGCCCAGAAGACCCATGGCGTGTGCCTCCTACAGTGTGGTGCTGTTGAACGGCCACTCTGATTTGGCGTCTCCTTTGGCTGAAATAAAGAACAGCGTTTCAGGATACTCCTTGCAGACAACTGACCAGTTTCTCTGTTATTCCACATACCCTACACATCAGTGTACACTTCATCCTAATGTGTACTTTCATCTCCTTTCTGTCTTCCACACTATGAGCTCCTTAAAGTCTTTTAAGTTTTTATGTCTAGCACCTGGCACATGAGAGGAACTCGAAAGCTATTAATTAAATTAAGAAACAACTATATTTGATATTTTAATTAAAAGGTTCATTTGTTCTAGTTGAAGGACTCACTTTCCTTTTAACAATCAAAAAGTGTTTTTTAACACTGGACTAGGCACTGGAGTCAGAGGGACACAGAAGGCTCAGTCCCTGCTCTGAAAAATCTTACAGATTTGCTAAATGCTGTTTAATTTGCTAAGTGCTGTCAAGGGAAGTTGCACTGGCTGTCACTGGAGCACAAAGAATGGAGTTGATCAGTTCTGCAGGTGAGGATGGGGTTGGATGCTCAGGAAAGGTTTGGAGGAGCAGTTTCCTCTTGAAACAGTTCTTAAAAGATGAATAGGTTTTCACCCAGAAGATACGGAAAGGGCATTTCATGAAGGAGCAGTGAAAAAAGGTCAAGTATTCTGTGGACAATGAGTAGCTCAGTATGGCTGAAGCGTAGAGTATAAAGGTCACTTTGTAGATCACTTGTGGTGAAAAGAGAAGCAGGGATATGATCACACAGGAAATTGCAAGGGGTTGGTTAAGAGGCAAGTGTTTGTTCTATAGGCCAGAAGATCTTAAGCTCCCTAATATTGAAGACTCCTCTTACGTCCAAAAAAAAAAAAGTCCCAGACAGTAATGAATGGTAGTTATATTTTCCTTTAACCATGTTATATAGACAATGCTTAAGGCAAACATAGATTCAGTGGGCCCCAGCAGAATAAACTAGCCCCACTAGGGATCTGGGAGCCATATATGAGAACTGACACCATCATACAGGGAGAGCCATTGAAGAACTGTAGTTGGGGGCAGGAGGGTTAAACTGATCACATTTGCCTTTTGAAAAGATAACTCTGAGCCAACAAACAAAAGGGAAGAGACTGGAAACAGAATGAACATGGATGAGGGAAGCAGAATGAAAACAGAAGAAAGTCAAGGAGAGAAGGTTGGGTTATAAACAGTTTATACACTGGGTACAGAATGATGATACCTGAAAGAGCAAGAAAGAGATGGTTAGGAAGGTGAATGAGGAGCCAGGAGAAATCGGTATCTGGGGGCCAAGGGAGGGAAAGGAACCATCACCTGGAACAGAGAGTAAAGAGGCTGGGTACCACAGTGCATCTGAGCCCAAGCTGTGGGGCCAAACAGCACTGTTACGTCCTAGCCCAGTACTTCGCAGCTGTGTGACCTTGAGTAACTTTTTTGCCTCTTTGACTCTTATTTCCTCACCTATAAAATGGAAAAATCTCTCTGAGACTTACCAAACTAATCAAATGCATCAACACATGTAAAATACTTAGAATAGTGCTGCGTGCATGTTACAGGATCAGTAACTATGAGTTGTTTTTTTTTTTTTTAATTTTACTTTTTACAAACAATGATTAGTAACTTGAGAGAATAAAGCTTGTTTATCAGATTCATAGGTGGTTTGTATCACATGTTTCAGTAAAATGGTAGAGAAGAACAAAGAAAAAAGTGATAGAAATAAAAGATTAAAATAGATGAAGGAAAGAATGGGTGGTGAGAAAAGAACAGTAAGAATAGAGTTTTCTATAGAGAAAAAAATTTTTTAAAACAAGGAGAAAGATAGAAGCTATATTAAGACACCCTCAGAAAATATTTTGGAAACTTAATCTTATGTATTTTAGAGTAAAATCATCTTGATGATGATTATATATTTGCTTTGAACTATTTTTTCTTTTCTTTTCTCTTTTTTTTTTTTTTTTTTTTTGAGACGGAGTTTCACTCTTGTCATCCAGGCTGAAGTACAATGGCGCAATCTCGGCTCACCACAACCTCCGCCTCCTGGGTTCAAGCAATTCTCCTGCCTCAGCCTCCTGAGTAGCTGCGATTACAGGCACGCGCCACCACGCCCAGCTAATTTTTTGTATTTCTAGTAGAGACGGGGTTTCACCGTGTTGACCAAGATGGTCTCAATCTCTTGACTTCGTGATCCACCTGCCTTGGCCTCCCAAAGTGCTGGGATTACAGGCTTGAGCCACCGCGCCAGGCCTGAACTACTTCTTCTAGTACATGTACAGTTTACACATTTAGGTTTATATTAACTGTATTCATGTGAGACACTAGCACTCCCTTCAAATCTCTGATTACATATAAAGCAGTCAGTGTAAGCTCAAATCAATAGCTAAACATTCCTGTGAAAGTAATAGACTGTCACCTTTAAGCATGCTTAGAATGCTGGCTATTACACCAGGTTAGTACTTATTCCTGGTGAACATTCACTAATGCCCTTAAAAGTTACATGCCAAGGGCCAACTCTTACCCAAACATTTGCCATTAAGGTGATTATGTTTCAGCTAAATGAAAAAGATGAACCAAAGTGAATTTGTATCGCATTTGAAATAAACCCCAGTGATATTTGCACACCGAGCTAACTTACCATGTGCTTGCTAACTGTGCTGTGCCATATTTTACATGCATTAACACAGATTTGATTCCATAGTGCACGTACGTACGAAGTAGGTGTTAGTAGGAGTAGCACCATTTTGCAAATGAAAAAACGTAAAACTCACTGAAAGTGAATAATGAGCCCACACCACCAGGGCCAGTAAGAGGTGGAGGGACTAGAACCAAGACATACGTACATACATAAATGCGTGCATTCATTCATTCATTTGAGACAGTCTCTTTCCATCACCCAGGCTAGAGTGCAGTGGCACAATCTCAGCTCACCACAACCTCGGCCTCCCGAGTAGATGGACTACAGGCTTGTGCCACTGAGGAAAGGTGTTGTCTTTCTGGGACAATAAGGGGGTGTAGTTTTAAGGGCAAGAACTTCCCAGTGCCATGCCATCCTCCCATCTCTCTCCATCCGGGAGATTTAACAGTTTCTGTTTTAATTTTCACAGGCACAGGAAGAATCAAAAAGTCAGTCACTCCAGCGGAAGTTCTTAGGAACTCCTTTCATTGGCCAGGGGTCTTGGAGAAGGTGGGGGTTCCTCCCAGGTTAAAAGTCCCCTTCTTCCACACCCCTTTGGACTCCATGTTTGGGTCCCCTTTCACACACTCTGTCATATGGAAGTTCTCTCTCTTCTCCTTTTTTTTCTCTTTCTCCGCCTAAAATGAAATCACTTTTCTGCAACACTTTTGAGTCTGGCATTTACTGTGCACTGTGCTGTGGTCTCCTCTCCCATTCTTGGGGGAGTGATAGACCTAGAACCTGGAGAGAAGTCCTCTCAAGGGAACTGAGGGCTCCCCTGAACCCCAAAACCCAGAAACACCACCACGCCCAGCTAATTTTTTGTATTTTTAGTGGAGACAGAGTTTCACCACGCTGGCCAGGCTGATCTCAAACTCCTGGCCTCAAGTGATCCACCCACCTCAGCCTCCCAAATTGCTGGGATTACAGGCGTGAGCCACTGTGCCTGGCAGAACAAAGACATTTTAAAACTCAAAGCTGGATCCTGTTAACTATACAGTTTACCAGGTGTGATCTGACTCGGAAGCCTAGAAGTATCTGCTCTCTCTCTCTCCACAGCTGGACTTCCTCAAACATCTGTTTTGTTAAATGCCTTCCATTAAATTGGTTGAGGACTTAGAAGGCTTGGGTTCATAGCCTTGTTTTTTCACACACTAGCTGGTGAAACTATAGCAAATCACTCAACTGATCTTTGTCTCAGTTTCCTCACCTGCAAGTTATATAAGGCATTGCCTACTTTTTTCACCTTCTTTCTCCAACAAGCATACAGTAGAGTTTTTCTGAGGCTGTATGACACACAACAACCCAACAGACTGAATGCAGTAGCAGGTATAAGAATCTAACAGTCTTCTGCTAAATAAGACATTAAAATAAGGTTTGCAAAAATCTAAATGCCATTTTTTTCATTAATTTTGTTTTGGTAATATTTTTAATAAAATGATGTATGCTAGTATATGGTGAGTTTATTATTATAAAATTAATTTTTATTTTTTAGCAGTTTTAACGTATCAATGTTACTTGATATCATCTGTATGAACCAGTACCCTTTAGGGTTCTGAATGTAAAAGAGTTTTGAGAACAAAAATTTTGAGAACCATTGCCTTCCCCTTCCTAGGTATTATTATATGAATCATCAGAATTAATCCTCAGAATAACCCCTTTGAGCTAGGTAACATTATTAATGCAATTTTTAAGATAATGAAACCAAAGCATAGAGATTGTAAATAGTCCCAGCTTGACACTGCTTAGGTGGTAGCAGCCTCCAAATACGAACCCAAATGATGCCAGAGTCTTTGTGTGCTTCTGTGTTTGGTAAATCTATAAGTAAACTATAAGTGCTCTTAGTAACCCAAAACAGACTTGTAATATTTTCATTTTAATCTTATTTCTAACTGGTGATGTATAATAGTTCCATTAGTTCTCATAAATTTGATGCCATTTTGCATATTAATCTTAAATTTGATGTTATATATATATATATTTGACATTATATATACATATTTATGTATATATACATACTGCTTTAGCAATATAAAGCAATAGTGAAATAACTGGGTCATTGGCAAATATAGTCTGTCTCTAAATTATTTTTTCTCTCCAAATTATTAATAGGTTATATTCTACAAGTTTTCTTGTTGAAGTGTATTAGAACTTTGCATGCATCTATAAAAGCCGTGTTATAAATCTTATTAGGTTTGTTGGATCTTAAAGCAAGGTAGCATAGTGAGGAGTCTTACAAGCATTTGACATCTTAGTCAAGACTTCTTGACTATAAATGTTCAAAACTCACTAAAGATATCTTGGCCAAAAAGGACACAAAGAGAAACTCATGGACAAAAAGTGAGCAGGGGCTCCAAGAGATCCAGGAATCAAGAAGCTGCCGTGAACTTCTCTTGGAGTCTCTCTAGGGCTGTGTGACTTCTCATCTTGCTTCTCTTTGTATGTCTCTTTCATCCTTTTCCCTTTCTCCACAATGGTTTTCTCTATTTTTTTGTCCCCTGGTGGAAGTTGTTCCCTCTCTAAATGAAGCCCTCTGATTCATACTTTCCCACAGGCCTTTTAATGCTAAAGACAGTGGATTATCTCTGAGTTTCAGTCCCAACCTCCAGAAGAGAAAAATGTGGGCCAGGCACAGTGGCTCACGTCTATAATGCCAGCACTTGGGGAAGCGAGGTGGGGGGGTAATCACTTGAGGCTGGGAGTTCAAGACCAGCCTGGCCAACATCAGGAAACCTCATCTCCACTAAATCTACAAAAATTAGCTGGGCATGGTGGTGCACACCTGTAATCTGAGTTACTCAGGAGGCTGAGGCACAGGAATCACTTGAATCTGGGAGGCAGAGGTTGCAGTGAGCTGAGATTGCACCACTGCACCCAGCCCGGGCAACAGAGAAATACTCTTTCCAAAAGAAAAAGAAAAATCTGATTGACCAAGCTGGGTCTAAAGGGCTCAGTAATTAATACCTCTCTTCACTGCCTGAATTATGAACCCAAAGAGAAAAGAAGGAATAGGTGGAGAAACCAAAGAAATCATTTTTGTCATTAATAAAGCTGGGATTGGAGGATGAGGCTTAGGTGCAAGAGCAGAGGGGGATAGTGTGCGCCCAGTGTAATCACATCTTCGGGGTACATCCCTTCACCCCAGTTGCTTCCTGAATTCTGCCCAGTGGAGACAGAAGGGGAGAAGACCACATTGTGAACTGTTACTTTATGGTGGCACTGATGTGTTTATTGGCGTTATATTCTTCTTTTCCTACTCCCCTAAAATATGTCTGGTAAAGGGGTAAATGTTAATGGGGGAAAAGGTTTGTTCATTCACCTTACAGTAACAGATGTTTTAGGATTATTGTAATCTCTGTTTTAAGTAAAATGACTCAAAAGCTAATTCCACTCTCATTCAGGATCTGGATCGAAATTTGAGCAGACTCACAGCTTCATTTGAGAAAGCAATAGCTGAGAAAGTCCGGTGTCAAGAAGAGGTGACCCAAACTGATAAAACCATCAAATTAGCTAACAGACTTGTCAAGGAACTTGAGGCAAGTTAAACCTTTTCTTCCAAACATTCTACCTAAAAAATTCAGATCCGCTTGTGGGGATTTTATTCTTTGCCATCAATAATAATTAAATAGACATGGAATTGACAGCAAAGGGCAATATTTAATCATCACTCATACTGTGGCTCTAACTCACCAGACAGAAGAAATGATCAGGTCCATATCTTTTAATATGTAGTCCTGATCTCAATGTGCCATCAGTCTGATCTCCTACTAAAACAGGGAAGACATACACTTTATCAGAATTTAGTGGTTGTGTATTCACTTTAAGACAGTGAAGTACATCAGCTGTGGGTGGATTATGTACTTACTTTTTCTACTTTCTCCCTTCCTTTCTTACCACATTGTAAAATGCTTTAAAAACAAAAAGCATATTTTTCTTAAAATATTTTATAAAATTCAGGATGGCTGCTAGATAATTGTGAAATTGAACTGCCTGTTGCCTAATCCTTTTAATACACATTTGCCATTGAATTCTACCAGCAACTGATTCCTTTCATGCTAACTGGTTGGCTTATGTTTTTGTTGTTATATCTTGTTATAGGTGAATGACATGCTACTGTTAACAGCTATTCCATTAGATAAAGGTTTTTTATAATTCTTATTAACATTCTCTTGCTTGAACATGAGTGGCAGAGGAACATATGTTCTTCGACATCAGTATTCACCGATTTTATTTGCTCTACAATGTGGCATTCAACAGTTTGGGACAAATCAGTAAACGTCTTCAACTTTGTTTTCTTGTATCTGAAACAGGGATGTGGGTGTTTCCCTTACAAGGTTGTGATGATGTTCAAAAGACATAATGTATGTTCAAGTATTTCCTAACAAAAGTCAAAGAGATAAATAACCAAATTTTAAAATAAGAAAAGGATTTGAATAGCCATTTCTCCATAAAAGATAGACAAATAGACAATAAGCACTTGAAAAGATGCTCAGCTTGATTAGTCATTAGGGAAATGCACATTAAAATCACAACAAGGTACCACTTCATACCCCTTTCATGAGAAAAACTGATGTTTTTCTGGAAATTCTCTGGCAAATTCCCACTTAAGTTTCTTTAGTCAATCTAGATAAACTCCTAACTCCACCCCACATGCCCTCCCCCGCCAAAAAAGTCTGGAAGAGTGGGAAACGGGATTATCATGATTGGCTTAGCAAGTCACAGTTCATCTCATGGGATTGGGTACAATGGCATCCCATTCAGATTCAGGGTTCTCTTAGCAAGAAAGGAGGAGGAAAAGTGTTTTGGGATGGCCAGGTGATAGCCTAATTTCTTATGGTAGATTTTTAAAACCCTAACTTATTACCACAAATTTAACTAATTCACCGCAAATTTAAACACACTATCTCTCTGAAATGCATAATTTATTATGCAAAAACTCATTCTGTAAAATGCCCTCTCTCCATTCCATCTCAGTAACTGCAATTCTGTTCTTTCACATTTTCTGGCCCAAAGCTTTTGAATCACCCTTGACTTTTTGCTCTCTTTCTGACATCCAGTCCCTCAGCATATTGACTCTGCCTTTCAAGTTCATTCCAAATCCCAGCACCTCGTATTCTCTTCACCTCACCATGCTGGTCCAGCCTGCTGGTATCTCTTCCCTAGAGTACCTCTGCAGGCCCCACCATTGCCTCCTAAAGCTTATTTCCCTCATTGCAGCTTGGTGATACTTTACAAACTGAAGTCTGTTCACATCACCCCCTCACTCAGAACTCCCCAGTAACTAATCACTCAAAGTGCACTCTAAAGGCTTCACTGACCTACAGGCCCTTGTGTTACCATTTTTTGACAGCATTTATTGCATGCACATAGTTGTACATGTATGCATACGCAAAAGTACTTTTTTGGTCTTTTTTCCCCATCCAAAATATAAGCTTCTCAAAAACAGGAAATTCACTTGTTTTGTGCACTGCTTGATCCCAAGCATATAGTATAGTCTTGGCATGTCGTAGGCATCACTAGCTGTTTATTGAATGAATAAATTAATGAATGGGTGACTTTGGGGAGCCTCCTGTGTTAAAATTCTGGAACCTTTTGAAGACTTGTTGAGAAATTTCACCAGTACTAGTACTTACTACTGCTTCCATTTAAAGTGGCAAGATTCAAGCAGTTTAAAGTGTTCACCATTTGCGAGCTACCTGAGGAAAAGGGTCATACAATTAGACTGTTTTCCTGGACTAGTTATAGAACGTCTGAAAGTTTTATCAAAGGAAAAGCAGGCTCTGCCATGTGTCTCCAACATACAGCAGTATTTCCAAAGACTCTACTTACTCGTGATGATTTAGACAAGAAAAGGAAAATAAGATTGTATCACGTTAACTAGGAAAAAATATCTATTTTTAAAGGATTGATTGAAAATGTCTGATCTTTTTCTTTGAGGATAAATTCTTTCTGAGTAGAACAGGAGACAGTTAACTTCTGAAAAACATCAAGACTGATGATTTTGTCTATATAGCATTGACCTGGAAGCTCAGCCATTCAGACTAATAAATCAGGCAATTTATATTTAATCATTAACTAACTCCTGAGCTGAGCAGCTGTTCAAAATTAGAAATGGGTCACCCCGGCCAGGATGACATTACAGGCAATCTATAATGCATTAGAATAAAATTATAGTGATTTTTAACTGTCTAGAAATTTATTACATGACATGTTCCAACTCTTAAACCCTTGTTAGCCATTGTCAGTAATGATTTATGTTGCATGGATACTATAGCGAAATTATTGACGATTTCGATAGCCAATAAATCTATGTTTAGTAAATCTTCAAATTTCAAAGCTGTTTTGGAGAATGAGATGGGTACACTTTATTGTTTATCCTTTACAAACCAAAAACAACAATGATGGAGGGTAGGTGAAGGAGAGGTTCCTCCTGAAAATTAATGGCTATGTTGTCTGTGGCTGAGGAAGGAAAGTAATACATTCTGTAAAGAGGGCTAGAGAGCCGAAGTTCCTTAGTGTTTAATTATGTAGTTAACTTGGGGTGATGTTTATCAATCAAAGCACGGAGATGATCTTGAAACCGCTTTGATAACCATTTTCCCATGCTAATTCCGTGACCTCTGACCTCCGTGTTGTAGATATTAAGATGGCTTGCAGGGAACTGGCATTCCAATCCATTCCGACATCATTTTTGTTTTCTGTGGTCGATCTTCTTTCATAAAAGCAAAATTCCATAGAGTGCTTGTTTGCTTGTACTAACAAGTTGCTGATTTTTTTTCAAGTTCTGTTAATGTGCATGTTCTTAAAATGTTGTATTAATTTTTAGCATACATTAAAACAAAATGAATTAGTGAACTACCTTGCAGTTCAGTCAATCCATACATATTTATTGCAGTTTTATTCAAATCCAATATAAAGGGCTTCACATACTTAACCTGTAAATCAGATTTTAAATGGCCATCCAACTAGATATAAGGACTTCAACAGCTGTCTTGGAGAGTATTGTGAAGTCCTGATTTCCATCTTTGTACATGGATCGTAGTTTCCTCCATTGACTTAATGATTATATTAGAAAACTAACCTAAGTTTAGTAACTACTGATGCTACTCTTTAATAGAATCCAGGATAGATGGCTATTTCAGCTTATGTTTTACCTAATTAAAAAGAGTTGTGTGTCTGTAATCAGACCATCACCAGCATGTTAAAAACAGATAAATAAAAAGTTTGCCTAGGGCAGTGTAGTGGGAAGAATGGAAAGCAGCCAGGCCGACATTAAGAATCTTAACATCAGGCCAAGCGCAGTGGCTTATGCCTGTAATCCCAGCACTTTGGGATGCCAAGGTGGGTTGATTGCTTGAGCTCATGATTTTGGGACCAGCTTGGGCAATATGGCAAAACCCAGTCTCTACAAAAAATACAAAAATTTGCTGAGCCTGATGGTGCATTCCTATAGTCCCAGCTACTTGAGAGGCTAAAGTAAGAGAATGGCTTGAGCCCAGGAGGTGGAAGTTGCAGTGAGCCAAGATGGTGTCACTGCATTCCAGCATGGACGATAGAGCCAGACCTTGTCAAATAAATAAACAATCAATCAATCAATCCTAACGTCACTCATTTTTTGCCACAGCTCTTGGTCATCCTCCATTCCCAGAGGGGTAGGGTAGAGACTGTCAGCCTTTCAAGAAGAACCTCAATCATAATGGAAGAGTTAGGATATTCAGGGAGAAGAGGTGTTAAAGAACTAATGTCACATTGTGATAAACTCCACTGAGGAGAGTATGAGAACTCCGTCATAATGATGGGTTTCAAACACATGAAAGATTACAATAGTCACACCAACCCGTTACACTCTGTTCCTTCTAGTGACTGTGTGGAAGGACATAAACTGTGCCATAAGGTGATTGCATTAAGCATTTGTTGAGTTGACGTTCACCCTGCAATTACAGCTGAGTAATTTTATCTTTTAGTCAGAGAAGATTCGCTGGGGTCAATCCATTAAGTCCTTCGAAGCTCAAGAGAAGACACTGTGTGGAGATGTTCTTCTCACAGCAGCTTTTGTGTCTTATGTTGGACCCTTCACAAAGCAGTATCGCCAGGAGCTGGTGGACTGCAAGTGGGTTCCCTTTCTTCAACAGAAGGTAAGTTCACTTCCTTACCTTGTCAACAGGTAGAAAAGTCACATTGAAATTTCAGTAATAAAGCCCATGTGTCTATCAGGTACTTTGGGACCGCAGCAACGAGAACTAACCAGAAATTCCACTGTGAAGGTGTTTTTTATTTTCACAGAATTCGTAATAAATATTTCATTATTTTAAAAAATGTTTTTATTGATTTATAATATTGCATGTATTTTGGTGGTAATGTGGTAGTTTGATACCTGTATACTATGTGTAATGGTCAAGTCAGGATAAGTAAGGTATCTGTCACCTTACACATTTATTTTTTTCTCTGTGTTAGGAACACTGTAATTCTTCCTTTATAGCTATTTGAAATGCACAATAAATTATTAACTACAGTTTCCCTATTGTGTTATTGAATACTGACTGGCACTTATTTCTTCTATCTAACTGTATTTTTGTACCCACTAATCAACTTCTTTGCATTCCCTTTCCCCCATTTTCCTCCCTCTGGTTCTCTGGTAACCATCATTCTACTCTCTCTTCCTCCATAGGATCCAGCTTTTTAGCTCACACATGTGAGTGAGAACATTAGATATTTGTCTTTTTGTGCCTGACTCATTTCACTTAACATAAAGTCTTCCAGTTCCATTCATGTGGCTCCAAATGACACGATTTCATTCTTTATGGCTGAATAGTATTCCATAGTGCACATATATCACATTTTCCATATCTGCGCATCTGTTGATGGACACTTAGGTTGATTCTGTGTCTTAGCTATTGTGAATAGTGCTGCCATAAACATAGGAATGCAGGTATTTCTTTGATACACTGATTTCCTTTCTTTTGGATTTATGCTTAGCAGCTGGATTGCTGGATCATATGGTAGTTTGTTTGTTTTTTTTTTTTTTTTAGGAACCTCCATGCTGTTTTCTATAGTGGCTGTATTAATTTAAATTTCCACCAGCAGTGTACCAGCTTTCTCTATTCTCTGCATCCTCACCAGCATCTGCTATTTTCTGTCTTTTTGATAACAGTCATTCTAACTGGGGTGAAATTATATCTCACTGTGGCTTGGATTTACATCTCCCCGATGACTTGATGATTATGAGCATTTTTTTCATGTTACCTGTTGGCTATTTGTACATCGTCTTCTGAGGGAAGTATCTATTCAAGTCACTTGACCACTTTACAATCAAGTTTTTTGCTTTTTTGCTATTGAGCTGAGTTCCTTATATATTCTGGTTATTGATGCCTTGTTGGGTGAATAGTTTGCAAATATTTTCTTCCATTATATAGATTATCTTTTCATTCTGTTTGTTGTTTTCTTTTCTGGGCAGAAGCCTTTTAGCTTGATACTATCCTATTTTTGCATTTGTTGCCTGTGCTTTTAAGGTCTTACCCAAAAAACCTTTGCCCAGATGTCTTGGAAAATTTCCCAATTTTTGCTTATAGTAATTTTCTAGTTTCAGATCTTAGGTTTAAGTCTTTAATCCATTTTGATTTGATTTTTGGTTTTTGTTTATTTCATTTTGTGTTTTTGAGACAAAGTTTTACCCTTGTTTCCCAGGCTGGAGTGCCGTGGTGCATTCTTGGTTCACTGCAACCTCTGTTCACCAGGTTCAAGTGATTCTCCTGCCTCAGCCTTCCAAGTAGTTGGGATTACAGGCACCTGCCATCACACCCAGCTTATTTTTTAGTAGAGATGGAGTTTCATCATTTTGCCTAGCTGGTCTTGAACTCCTGACTGCAGGTGATTCACCTGCCTCAGCTTCCCAAAGTGCTATGATTACAGGTGTGAGCCACTATGGCTGACCCGATTTTATTTTTGCACACGAGAAAAGATGGGGATAGTTTTTCTTATGTTAATGATGGTTTCAACAAGAACATAAAAATTAATTATGTAAACTATGGAGTTATAGTTGGAAAAGTACTTTAAACAAAAGTGATAACTGAAATCAAACTCAGATTATCATGTTATTGAGTAGCATGAAACTTTTTATTTTCTTACTAATATTATGGGTTATTTGTTAAAGATTTTTAAAAGACTACTTTCAGACTTAAAGTGTAGCATTTTTTGTAAGTATAAAGTATCTTCCCCTAAATTTGAAAATTCAAACCCATAAGCAAAGTGAAGCAATAGATTTGGAAGATCTAAAATCATCTAGTTTAAGATCCTGCTTGTACAAATGAGAAAACTGAGAAAGTAAGTCTAAATGACTCCTCTTCAATCATATAGAATAGAAAATTAGACCTCCTGATTTCCAGGACTCTATTTTCTATACAACTCTGTCATCTCAATTCATTGAAACAACACTGTCATCTCAATTCTTAGTTTATATATCCAGTCCTTTCTAGAGTATGGAGACAAAGATGGACATGGGCACAGATATTGACAGATAATTGAAGCAGTCACACCTGCTGGTCTCTGTTACTTCAAGGAAGTAGGAAAATGCAGTGCAAGATGGCCAGACAAAAGAAAATGGGAATTAGGAGAATACCTTTGAGGAGAGTGGTAAAAATAGCAAAAATACCTGTGAAGGGCAACAGGGGAGTAGGTGGTCAGAGTCTCCACGCGGCTTTAAGATGCGGCACTTTTTACAATAGCAAAGACCTGGAACCAACCCAAATGTCCATCGATGATAGACTGGACTGGGAAAATGTGGCACATATACACCATGGAATATTATGCAGCAATCAAAAACAATGAGTTCGTGTCCTTTGTAGGGACATGGATGAATCTGGAGAACATCATTCTCAGCAAACTGACACAAGAACAGAAAATGAAATACCACATGTTCTCACTCATAGGCGGGTGATGAACAATGAGAACACGTGGACAAAGGGACAGGAGCACTACACACTGGGGTCTATTGGGGGGAATAGGGGAGGGACAGTGTGGCGGGTGGGGAGTTGGGGAGGGATAGCATGGGGAGAAATGCCAGATGTGGGTGAAGGGGAGGAAGGCAGCAAATCACACTGCCACGTGTGTACCTATGCAACTATCTTGCATGTTCTGCACATGTACCCCAAAACCTAAAATGCAATAAAAAAAAAGAAACCCAAGATGAATTTGAACAAGAGGAGTTTGTAGTCACAGTAATAAAGTTTTCATCAGCAGTATTCAAAGTCCAGGAGTAAAAAGAGAGAACAGCGAATGCCAAATCCAGCCAAGTACAAGGTTTGTAGGCAGGTAAGCCAGGAAGAAAGGAGGTGAGGGTAAAGTCAAGCAGTGACTAGCAGAACATTTAAGGAATGGGAGGTGCACTTGGTTAGCCAGAAGTTAGTGTTCAAATATGGTAAAGTTCCCCAAAACATTAAAGGCAGAATTACATGATCCAGAAATTCTGCTTCTCAGTATATACCCCAAAGAAATAAAAGTAGGAATTGAAACAGATGTTTGCATGCTGCTGTTCATAGCAGCAGTATTCACAGTAGCCAAAAGATCGGAGCAGTTCTTCCGTGGACAGAATGGATTTTTAAACATAAGGTAATAAACATACAATAGAACATTACTCAGCCCTAAAAATGGAGAAGATTCTGGTACATGCTGCAACATGGATGAACCTTGTCAATATTAGGCTAACTGAAATAAGCCATTCACAAAAGGACAAATACTGCATGATTCCACTTTAGGAGGGAACCAGCGCATTCACATTCATAGAGACAGAAAGTGGAATGATGGTTAGCAGGGGCCGGGAGAGGGAGGAATGGGGAGTTACTGTTTCATAGGTATGTTTCAGTTTGGGAAGATGAAAAAGTTCTGGAGATAGATAATGATGGTTGTACAACAATGTGAACGTACTTAATGCCACTTGAACCATACACTTAGAATGGTTAAAATAGCAAATTTTATGTTAAGTATATTTTACCACAGTAAAACAGTAAATAGTTGGCTAAAGGCCTGGTGTCCTTTTTTTTTGAGACAGAGTCTCACTCTGTTGCCCAGGCTGGAGTGCAGTGGTGCAATTTCGACTTACTGCAACCTTCACCTCCCGGGTTCTAGCAATTCTCCTCCCTCAGCCTCCCAAGTACCTGGGACTACAAGCACATGCCATCACACCCAGCTAATTTTTTTGTACTTTTAGTAGGGACAAGGTTTCACCGTCTTAGCCAGGATGGTCTAGATCTCCTGACCTCGTGATCCACCCATCTCAGCCTCCCAAAGAGCTGGGATTACAGGCATGAGCCACTGTGCCTGGCCTGGCCTGCTGTCTCAGTAGTATTTGTTAGAGTGTTATGTTTAAAGATGTCAAAGAGATACAGACAATCATAATCCAAGAGTTAGACATAGAAATTTTAGGTTTCAATGGTGAAATAATTTCAGATTTTTACAAAGTCTGGGTCAACATTTCCCATCGAAAAAGGAGGTACTCTAATAACCCACCAAAGATATATCAACATCATGGGAGGAGGGGATGCACATATCAGAAGCCAGGGAAAGGGTATTGTATAATCCTCCCAGGTGATTCTCACGTCATCCCCTTCCTCCCCCAATTGCCCCAGCATGCTGGAGTAGAAAGGAAATATAGTGCTTTAACATGACAGATGTCAAGGCCAGAGAATAGATTGATCATCTGCATAGGCACTGATGTTGTCAAGGATTGATAGCAGAACTTGGAAAAGCAAGAAGAACCAATAGCTGTATCATTCAAAAGGTGAGGAAACAGATGGAAGATTGTATATCTGGATACTATGGGTCTTGAAGGTGGCATTTTGACTTAAGAATGGAAGAATCATCGTTGGGTTGACTTAAAGGGAAAAAAGAATGATAACTGTTTTCCACATCCACTTTTCAGTTATGGGAGTATTAAGAAAATGAACTGTCTGCCTATGTGGTGGCTCACATCTCTCAGTGCTTTGGGAGGCCAAGGCAGGAGGACCCCTTGAGGCCAGGAGTTTGAGACCAGCCTGGGCAACACAGTGAGACCCTATCTCTACAAAAAAAAAAAAAAATACCCAGCCAGGTGTGGTGGCAAAGAGGCTGAGGAGGGAGGATCAGTTGAGCTCAAGAGTTAGAGGTTACAGTGAGCTATGACGGCACCACTGAACTCCAGGCTGGGCGACAGAATGAGACCTTATTTCAAAAAGAAAGAAAGAAAGAGAAAGACAAAAAGAGAGAGGGGAGAAAGGAAGGAAGAAAGGGAGGAAGGGAGGAAAATGAACTATTTCCACTTGAGAAAGCCCTCAAGGGAAATGAGACTCTACAATGACTCTTGCATCCCAGCCTCATGTTAAAATCATATGAGAGAACTTTTGAAGTGCATTGATGCCAGTTGAAGCTGAATCAGTGGGGGAAAGGACCATGCCTCTTGGTAGCTTTGCTTTTCCCCCTAGACAGGGTCTTACTCTGTTGCCCAGGCTGGAGCGCAATGGCACAATTTCGGTTCACTGCAGTCTCTGCCTCCCAGGTTCAAGTGATTCTCCTGCCTCAGCCTCCTAAGTAGCTGGGAATATAGGTGCACATCACCACATCCAGCTAATTTTTTGATTTTTAGTAGAGATTGGGTTTCACCATATTGGGCGGGATGGTCTCTATCTCTTGATGGCATGGTCTGCCCTCCTCAGCCTCCCGAAGTGCTGGGATTGCAGGCATGAGCCACTGCACCCAGCCTCCTGTTGGCAGCTTTTTAAAGCTATCCCATAATTCCAATATCCAGCCTGGGGTTGACAGCCATTGCCCTGGGTTAAGACAAGCAGGTAGAGAAGATAAGGCAATTTGGTCCAAGATACTAAAGGGTATGGGGGAAGGGTTGTCAGAAAGTACAACCATGGGGGCATAGTTTGAGGGATGGGACAGGGAGAAAACAGTAACACAGAGGGTGGTGGCTGAAACGGCTTTGAGGGTCCAAATCACACTGTTTTCCAAAGTTGTTTTGATCCAAAGTTGTTGTTTGCTGAGCAGATGGACAGAGTCACAGGCAAGTTCAAGGCAGCCTTTGCACTCCACTCATTGCTTTGACCCAACAGTTTATAGACAGAGCAAATACATGGCGTTATTAGTGCTTATAATTAGTTATTGGTTATTAATTAGTTATTACCAGCACTAATTCCAAGCCTGTATGTCCTAAGCAATAAAATAGAGGTATCTACCTTACAGAACTCTTGTAAGAGTTAAATGAGAAAATGGAAAGAATGAATATATATGAATAAATTTTGTGAACATATAAAGCCTTACGTAAACATTACCTGTTATGTTACCATAACATTAGGAGAAATGGAAGTATTATGTCCATGGGAAATTGCCCTTTTTTCTGAGGAATATGCCAGTTGGGCAGTTTTTCGAGGACTGATGGGCATTCAGTGTTAGGACTAATTTCACTTTGGCTCATGGCACGTGATTCCAGCCTTGTCTTTTCTCTCTAGCAAATGCTTATTTTCCAAGGAGTGAGCCTCCTTTTGTGTGTGTGTGTTCAGCTCCACCTTGTAGTAACAACCTGGCTCGCAACATGTTGACCCTACTTAACGGAGCAATTAGACGGAGCCTTGCAATAGGCTGACTTTAGAAGCAGACTTTGAACTTAAAGGGTTCCCTGTTTGTACTTGGTTTCCAAACCCATTTTCTTGCTGCAGACTCCAAGAAATTCTGAAAAGACAAGTTCATTATAATAAAAAGGTATACTCTAATATGACCCTTAAGGAAGGGGATATTTCTGAGAAATGTCTGTTGCTGTACTTACACAGACCTAGATGGGAGAGCCGAGTACACACCGAGGCTGCATGGCATAGCCTATTGCTCCTAGGCTACAAACCTGCACAGCATGTTACTTTATTGAATACTGTAGGCAATTGTAACACAGTAATGTTTGTGCATCTAAATCGATCCAAATGTAGAAAAGATACACCGAAAACATAGCATAAAAGACTAAACTTGGTACACCTGTATAGAGCAGCTATCCCGAGAGGAGCTTGCAGAACTGGAAATTGCTCTAGCTTAGTGACTCTTCCACTTAATGGATACAGCTGAAACAATTGGGGACTCTGAGTGACTTTGATTTCTGAAGCTAAGAGGACTACTGTGAACAAATACAAAGTCCGTGATAGTCCACTGTAATGTCCTAGGCCTTCACATTCACTGTGAATGTGACTAAGCCAGGGCTCAGGGGGGAGACAGGTGTTCTCTTTCATCCCTGGCTCTGTACTCCGCACAGAGTAGGTGCTCAAACTATTGATTTTGGATAGGAGATCTGCAGGTGCACCTTCTGTTAGTCCTTTTAGCTTCAGAAATCAAAGTTACTCACAGCCACCAATTGTTTCAGCTGTTTGTATAAAGTAGAAGTAACAAATTTAAGCCACATATCTCTTGCCAATAGAGTACTTACTCCAGAAGATCAAGTTGCCTGTGTCTCTAAGGGAACTATGTGTCAAGTCAGATACCAAGACTTGTTCAGTATCACTAGGAGGTAAGGTCTGATTCATTTTTAAGATAACACTGTAGTCAGAGGCATTAAGAATATTATGCTACTTTTCTTATATTCATATCAAATTTCATGCCAGCCTTAATGTGGGAATCCTTTCAGCATTTTGTTTTGAAGCTCTGTGACAAATCAATGAACCAAACTATTCCCTCCTCTACGTACTACACGTGGGTTCTCACTGCAGTCTCTTATGAAGGAATGCTTCCATGTTAACCGCCCCAGCAGGTGGGGGGCTAGCTCGGTATTCATCCTGCACATTTTGGTGTCTCCAGACAGTGTTTTGTGTATGCAGAAAATGCTCAATAATTTTCTGGTAATTGATGACTGAAGGAGTGAACAAATACGTTCTTTAATAAATTTTTGCCACAATATTTATTCTTTGTTGTCAATTTTTATAAAGAATGATACTTATTCTTTAAAATGGATTGTTCTGTCCCCCCCCACTAGCCCCTCTCTTGCCCCTCCCCTGTCTTGCCCCTCCTCCTCTCACCCCTACCCCTTTCTTGCCCTGTCTCTTGCCCCTCCCCCTCTTGTGCCTCCCTTCTCTTGTCCCTCTCCTCTCTTGCCCCTCCCCCTCTCTTGCCCCTCCCCCGCTCTTGCCCCTCCCCTCTCTCGCCCCTCTCCTCTCTTGCCCCTTCTCCCTCTTCCCCTCCCCCCTTGCCCATCCCTCCTCTCTTGCCCCTCCCCATCCCCTTACTTTACAATGCAGTCAAGGCATAGAGAATTATCCTCTCAGCCTAGAAGTGACATCCTAAGTTCCTTTGCAAAACTGAGAAGTTAATGGAGTTCCAGTGTACTGAGTACTTTTCATTAACCCATCCAGAAAGAGGGGTCCTCTCTTTGCAGGATTGGTGGGTAGCGGGTAGAAAAAAATGAAGTGCCTGAGCAAGATACTGCATTTTAGCATTGCTTATGAGGGGGTGGGGGGTGTGGATAGCTCCATGGGCAAATAGGATTCTGGCATTCTGCCATTCTTCCTGGTGTATAAATTCACTCTTACCTAAGTATGGGACAAAGTTCTCTCTCAGTTGAAGCCCAGTAGATGCAGTTGATAAAACAAGATGTTGAATCTCACAGTTGACAGAATTCTGAGATGTAAAATACTGGGTTTATCAAGTCAAACTTCCTCTCATGATGAGTTGTGTTTGGCTTCTGAGAATCCACAGAGAATTTGCATGTGTTTCTCTAGAGTTACTTTCTCATGGCTTTGTTCTCATGTTTTCTTGTCTGTCTGCTCTGTCTGCCACATGGCCAAGTTTTTGCATTCAACTCTGTTTTTAAAGGTTTTCATTCCACTAACTGAAGGCCTGGACTTGATTTCCATGTTGACGGATGATGCTACAGTTGCCGCCTGGAATAATGAAGGACTGCCAAGCGACAGAATGTCCACTGAAAATGCTGCTATCCTAACACACTGTGAGCGCTGGCCTCTGGTGATAGATCCGCAGCAGCAGGGAATTAAGTGGATCAAGAATAAGTACGGAACGGACCTGAAAGTCACACATTTGGGCCAGAAAGGGTATGTGAAGTTTGAAGGCTTGCTATTTACCTGCTGTGCAGTGGGTCTGATTTTTATAAAGGCGTCATGTTTCTTAGACCTCTCCACCACATTGTTGTGTTACAATTTGGCGCTAGTTTTTTTGTCTGCCTGCTCTTTTATCTGTATCTGTGTTGAAAAGGCATTCGTGTTGGATGGCATCAAGTTATCCGAAGAAGAAATAAGATTGAAGGTTAGAAAGGAAAAATATGTAAATTTTCTAAAGCCAAGAATGGATATGTATTATATTTCCATTATATATATTACATTCCTTCCCTGGAGTGTTCGGATAGTAACACAAGAATTGTCAGTGGTGCCTCCAGGTTTAATGATGGGTCATATTCCTAAATCTATACTTCGCCTATAGAAGGCTCTTAACATGGCTACAAATCCCAACACTGGATGCCTGAAGTTAATTTAATCTTAGTCAAGATTTACATGTCACTTATGAGAACTTAATCTACTCCGAGACTTTCTGTTACTGAGTCATCGTGACAATACTGTCTGATAGATAGAAAGCTATCTTTTATGCAGTTGCTATTCAGTTAATGTTGAATAAATTATTTTAGAACTATGGATATGTCACTTGACCTTTCCATTCTTTTTTATACATAGAGTGAAATAAGAAATTTCTATAGTTATACAAGTAAATGTAGTTCTTAGACCAGGTACTGTAGATCATGTCTACAATCCCAGCACTTTAGGAGGCTGAGGCAGGAGGATTGCTTGAAGCCAAAAGTTCAAGACCAGCCTGGGAAACATAGTGAAACCCCCATCTCTACCAAAAAAAAAAGTAGCCAGTTGTGGCAGTGCCCATCTGTAGTCCCAGCTGCTTGGGAGGCTGAGGCAGGAGGATCACTTGAAACCCAGGAGATTGAGGCTACATTGAACCAGAAACATGCCACTGCACTCCAGCCTGGACAACACAGTAAGACCTCATCTCTGGTTTTTAAATGTAGTTCTTGCTTATCTGAATACTTGCAGAAAATTATTTTTGGTAGGGAGATAATTTTTTGGAGGGTAAGACCAAAATAAAATGATAGCTCGCCATTTTAAGTAACTAAACTTAAAGGTTTAAAAAATAAAAAGTCTGATCGGATTATAAAGCAATTGATACATGAATTTTCCATTAAAAAAAGCCCATCAAATGAATTTAAATGATATTTGGGTAAGTTATACTTGTTTAAACTATGGTTGCTATTACAAGCAACTAATCTACATATAGATTTATTATTTCAAATGATTGAATTTCACTTGAAAAATATGACTAACATGTATCTTAAAATCTCATCTTTAATTTCTGTATAATCTAAAGGAAACTACCACTTTATAAAATAGTTTTCTCTATTAATGATAATTTAATCATATAAATACTTTTGAACATTTTTGTGCCAATTGACATTTTATGATCTCAAATCCCACTGAATTTTAAGGTTCTTGAATGCCATAGAAACTGCTTTGGCCTTTGGTGATGTCATCTTAATTGAAAATCTCAAGGAAACGATAGATCCAGTCCTGGACCCACTACTTGGCAGGAACACAATTAAAAAAGGAAAGTAAGTATTCTGGAATCTTTAACATCTATTTCGTGCTAAATGATTTCCCGCGGCAGCATCTATTTCTTAACCTCATAATAAGCAGTGTGTTGCCATCTCGGGGAGATTTCTGAGTTTCCATTTTATGTACCTACACTCCAAGGTCAAGGCAGCTACAGCATAATTCAGACTTTCAGACTCTTTGTTGGTGGATTTCGATTTGTTTTATCCAATTCCTGACTTATGGACCCAAAAAATGCATTGTTATAAGTCAGAGAACAGTCGCCCCTTTTTAAATTCAGCCAGCGTTTCTCTAACTTCAGTAATTTGCACAACACCTTGAATATGGATGCGTATCTACATATCACTTGTACCTGTTTACTTAACATTTTTCTTAAACTAGATTTTATATCCATTCTCTGTTTTTTAAAATCAGATGCATTTACTGTGCGAACTCTGTTTTGTTTCTAATATACTTAAAATCTAACCATTCAGAAAAGGAGAGTTCATGAGTGAATCCCTGAAATCACCCCTTATGCCAACAGTGTTGGATTATCAACAACAGAGAAACACTTTCTCCTACCCCTCCAGGAGCTGTGTGTGACTTTCTAAGTGGCTGCCATTCTCCTAAGACAATATACTTCCCAGAACATTCTCTTAGGGGCATCGAAGCCACTTCTGAGGAGTCATCATGTTACTTTCCTGTCAATGTGGGAAAGGTCAGGTGCAGCAATTGTGTCTTCAATCAAGTCTGGGTGGGCATCAGGGAAACTGGCACTCCAGAGACTCCTATGCCTCTTCGCACAAGCAATCAACATTGACTAGACTTAACTCACTGGATTTCCTTCTCTCTCTCCTTTTTTTTCTTCAAAGAGATATAATTTCAGAACTTCCCCCACCCTGTTCTTCCTTAACACCCACGCTCTGCCTCTAAAGTGTCTGTCTCCTTTTTCATCACTAGATTATTCCTGTCAGTTTTCAGTGGAAATAAGCCTACATCAGGGGGACTAACTTCTTGGTCTCTAAATGATTAGTATGGTATTTATCATACAGCTCACTAAGTAAATCCATTCAGAGTGACTGACAACTTATAATTGTTTAATAAACCAAAATTTGCCCAGGCACACATTTAGAACAATCTAATAAGCCACTTTGACAAATGGCAACTTTTAACATAAATATAATTGTAGCTGTGTCTGATGTGTTAAAAATATAGTGTAAAATCTTGAATGTCAGTAAAGTGAAATCCTTGTTATTAAGGTTCTGACTCTATTATGAAGACCTAAAATTTTTATCAGTTAAATGCATGTTATCTGGGCTTCAACTTCAATTTTCAGTAGCACAATTCAGGTGTAAGCAATTTGTTGATTCTCGTTACATATATAGTTGGATAATCTGAAATTTCCAAAGACTGATAAATTTGAGTCATGATTCCCGGTATGGATGTAGTTAACTATCAGTGAGGATTTTAGAAACAAATTTTACATAGAGCTTCAAGTCTTTATGACAAAATATCAGGCCAGAACAATTTAATTCAAATTAATAATATTTATGGAATATGTTCTGTCTGTTAGGCCTTATAGAATTGATCATGTTATTCTAGCATTTCTTTTAAGGCCAAGAAGATTTAAGATAATCTGTAAGAATGTAACAAACGGTGCTGATTTATGCAGTTGTTACATTTAACAGTCCTGGCTCCTAAACCCTTACGCATGGGAACAACCGCTTGCTTGAGGGTGAATCTCAACTCTATATGCTCAAATCTTCCTCCTTCCCTTTTGCATGTAGATGTTTTTATAGTATCTTCACGCAGAGACTATGAGTGCCAGTGGAGTCCTTAAATATCCTGTCAATCATTGAATAAAACTTCTCTGAGCACTGCTATATGCTGGGTACTATACTGGGGTCTGCAGATTTAGGGTGATGAAACACAGACCCTGCACTTGAGGGAGCTACGTTTCCGTTAGGAAAGACAGACCTATAAATAATCAATGAATGTAAAGCAGAACCATTGATGTGGTGATAGATGTATACATAGCAAGGAGTTGGCAGCTCCATAGTGGAGACTTGGAAAGACTTCTTGGAAAAAAACTACCTTTGATTACATTTTTATTTAATGCAAGTCTCAAAAGTTAAGTAGGTGTTTCTGAGGTAGACAAGTGGGAGAAGAGAATCTTGGAGAGAGAGCCCTAATTTCCAATAGCAAAACACACAAAACAATCCAACAGCTTTGGGGAACTGCAAATAGAATCCAAATGGGTGGAGAGTCTGTTGGGGAGGAAAAGAGAGGGATGTGGACTAGGATAGATGAGACCAGAGAAGAAGCAGGACCCAGAGCACAGACTCCTTTGATTGATCCCCAGGTTGGCCTTTATCTATAGGTGGATAATTTCTAACCTCTCCCAAATACACCCAGGGCCCGTTTCTATCAGTTATACTGGCTGGCAATAGCAATTGTTTTAACTAAAGGACCATGCCTTCCTGGAGTCTCCATATTTTCACTCGAGAATCATGATCATAAGTCATTGGAGAAGCTCGTTAGAACTCCTGTGCACACTGGAAGCAGAGTGAGCAGATGAATGTTTCTGAAAGGATTGACTGAAGGGGCGTGGACCTAGAGCCAGAGTCCAGTTAGTAAATAATTGCAGTAATCCATTGGTTGAGACATGGTATGAGCCTAAACTTAGGCAGTTACAGGAAAGAGAGGAGAGGACATCTCAGTGTGATAACAAGGAGTTAATACCATCGGTTTATGGTAATTAATTAGATATTATTGGTGGGGAGAAAGGAAGGTTCAAGGATGGTTTATTCTGCCTTCTGTCAGATAAATGATATTGTGCTTTATGGAGAAATGTATATAAGAATAAGTATGGGGAAAGAAGTAATGATTTCTCTTACTTGTAAATGCAAAGGTTGAGGTACTTCTTTAACACTCATTTCTAAACCAGAAGTCTGAAAAGCAGCTGGACATGTGAGTATGGAGCGTAATAAAAGAATGTTGGTTGATCATGTAGACCGGGCGTATCTATCTGGAGAAGCAGTTCCACCATCATGGTGGATGTGATTATCTAGAGCCAGAAAAACAGGGCACCCTGTCTTCCCTCTGCTCTTTTCCATGAAAAAAATGGGGACCCAGAGACATGAATCAAGGGCCTCTTGCATACCCTGTAACTATATGAAGGTTATGTGAAAACCTAGTTTCTTTAACAGCTTTTTCTCTTTTCTGTGGTTTTAATTGCTGTGTCATAGTTGTACATATTTGAGGGTACATGAGATATTTTGATACATGTATACAATGTGTGATGATCAAATCAGGGTGATTGGGAAATCTGTCATATCAAACATTTTTCTTTCTGTTGAGAACATTACAGTTTTTATCTTCTAGCTATATTGAAATATGCAATAAATTATTAACTATAATTTTCCTACTCTTCTGTTGAATACTAGAATTATTAGAATTATTCCTTCTAACTGTATTTTTGTACCCGCTAACCAATTTTTCCTTATCCTCCCCCTCCCCCACTGACTTCCTTTCCTGGCCTATTGTAACCACCATTCTACTGTTTGCCTCCATGAGATCCACGTTTTTAGCTTCAGCATATGAGTAAGAAAATGCCCTATTTGTCTTTTTGTGCCAGGCTTATTTCACTTGATGTAATACCCTCCAGTTCCATCCATGTTGCCACAGATGACAGTTTTATTTCTTTTTATGGATGAATAATATTTCACTGTGTATGTGTACCACAATTGCTTTATCCATTTGTGTTCCTGTGTTTTACATTACTATAAAGGAATACCTGAGACTGGGCAATTTATTTTTTTTTTAAGAGAATGATTTAGCTCATGGTTCTGTAGGCTGTAAAAGAAACATAGTGCCAGCATCTGCTTTTGGTGAAGCTTACAATCACAGTGGAAGGTAAATGAGGAGCAGATATGTCACACAGCAAGAAAGGGGGCAATAGAGAGTGGGCAGGAGGAGCCAGGCTCTTTTAAACAACCATATCTCAAGGTAACTCATTCCCACAGGGAGGACCCCAAGTCATTCATGAGAGATCTGCCCCCATGACCCAAACATTTCCCACCAGGCCTACCTCCAACATTGGTGGTCACATTTCAGCATGAGATTTGGAGAGGACAGATACCCAAACCATTTCACAATTCGCCCACTGACGGACACTCAAGATGATTTCTTGTCTTGGTTATTGTGAGTATTGCTGCAGTCAACATGGGAATGCAGATACTTTTTCGATATGCTGATTTCATTTCTTTTGGATATATGCCCAATAGTCAGATTGCTGGATCCTGTGGCATGATCCTGAAGAATCTCCATACTGTTTTCCATAGTGGCTATACTAATTTACATTCCCACCAGCAGTATACAGGTGCTTTCCTTTCTCACATTTGTTATTTTCTGTCTTTTTGGTAATAGCCATCTAACTGGGATGAGTTTTGATGTACACTTTTCTGATGATTAATAATGTTGAGAACTTTTCATACACCTGTTGGCCATTTGTGTATTTTTTTTTTTTTTTTTTTAGATGGAGTCTTGCTTTGTCACCCAGGCTGGAGTGCAGTGGCACAATCTTGGCTCACTGCAACCTCTACCTTCTGGGTTCATAGCAATTCTCCTGCCTCAGCCTCCCGAGTAGCTGGGATTACAGGCACCTGCTACCAGCCTGGCTAATTTTTGTACTTTTAGTAGAGATGGGATTTCGCCGTTTTGGCCAGGCTGATCTCAAACTCCTGACTTCAAGTGATCTGCCTGCCTTGGCCTCCCAAAATGCTGAGATTACAGGCATGAGCCACTGCATCCAGCCTGTTACTATAATATTTAATGATAGGTGTGTTCCTCAATTTCTTTAACATTCTTATTGAAGGAAATTTTTGTTGTTTTTAGACTTTTTGCTATTATCAGTGATGCTGCTATAAATATTAGTGAATATTCATGCATACATCTACAGGTATACACAGCAAGGTTTTAAGTGTTTATATTCTGTAGTAGGATAGTTGGGTTGCAAAAT